AATGTAAGAATTGTCTTTATACTTAATAATATGTTGTTTCTAATAATAATATTTATTATAACAGTCACATAAACAGATTAAACAGATCTAAAAATAATAGTTCTCAAATAAAAAAAACATCAAAGCATAATGGAATTTTTCAAGCTTTTCTGTGTATTTTTAATGTATATAAGTTATTTAATAAACTGAATTTATGAATGTATGTTGGAATAATACAACATTTTTTTTTATGGCTATGAGGAATTTTAGTTTGTTTTCGTTTTATTTTGGGAAAAGCTCTAATGTAGAAAAGTAGGTTTCGCATTCAGAATTTTAAACCGTTATTGTTCATTACATTCCACGCAATTTTCCCCAACAGAATTTTCTCGCAGCTCGATACACGTAACACAATTTATTAAATGTAAGGCGTGATCCCAACGCCCAACGCGAACGAGCAAAAAAGTCCGTTCCCCTCCGATGCAGAATGTGTGCCTGAAAGGGTTAAACTCCATTAAATATAATTGACTCGTTATGCAATCACCTATTGCAGCGAAGGCAACAATAATTTCGCACAATTTTTAGCTCTGCCCTCTTTCTAACATCATGTCTCCGAGAAACTATGATTTGTCGAGCGAACGTAGGAGGAAATGGCTTTGTACACGCGACCAAAACTGGAATGAATGTATCAATTTTCACCGATTAAATTTCGATTAGCGTATCTAAGCTAATTGAATCCTAACGAAATCTCGAACGTACAGAAATATACCTTAATATTACAAATTAATGGAACCTAAAAAATATATATAATACATAAAAGCAAGTACCATTCATTTGACGAATAATACAAACAAGACTTCAATTACGCAACGTGGAAAAGCATTTGCAAACATGCAATTTCCCTTCCTGCTTATGTAACTTACTAATGTACGTTTCGTGTCATTGGTGAGAGATTCTGTGTAATGAACAATATTTGGACTCTCGCAGCTGCGAATCACCTTGAACTTGTCTAAATCCATAGACGGATCACACAATACATCCCACCCAAAAAAATAAAACACCGTTTCTTTCCATTTAACATTAAGCTTAGAATCATCTCATCTCGGATCGGATCGGCCAGTGCGTTGAACTTACGAAAAGCATAAAAATACTAGAATTTCTTAGTTTTAGTGCACGTCAGAAGATAAGTGAGTAAATAAGACACATTATTTTCCCTCATCTGCTGTTAATTATTGCGTTAAGAAAGCGGCCATTTATTTTATACGTCAGGTAAACTATTTTAATATTCACACTGACCTCACTTAACCAAGTACATTTCTGAATGAGTCTAAAACGTTCCTATTAAGTAATGTCGAAACGGGTTTCACGGAATTTTTTACAAACGACTCGTTTTCTACATACATTATTTAATGTCATTCAGTTCATACAATGCTTTATGTTTTATTCAATAACCACTCCATTTTCATTAATTATATTATATTTTTGTTTTTTTTTAATTCAAATTATAATACTAATTTATTTGCTTTCATAATTTAACATTAACTAGAACATTGGCTACAGTATCTTCAACCATATTATTCTATGCACAATTACAATTTTCTTTGAATTGAATTAAATAATTTATTTCTCTCTCATCGTTATGCGAAACGTCGCTCGTTAAGCGAGTCATTTTTCTTACAATTAATTTTGCTCGTTAAGCGAAATGCTCACTGTTCCACTGTATATTAATATAAATAAATCATATGAAGTATTATTACATAAAAATATATTTTTTACATTAGTTTCATTTTGAATATTTTGCAAGTAAACTGTTTCAGTATGTAATTTAATTAAATGTTATTAGCGGTTTCTATTTTTTAGATATGTTAAGTGTTAAATGATCCGTGTATTTGATTAAAATTCCTTGATTTTGCAACTTCCTTTAGATGTATCGTGATTAATGTATTTTCACTTTGACAGCAAATAAATAAATGGCAGATTCGTAATTAATTCCATCTGTCACCTAATTACTCATTTACCTCTTTAAGATGACTGATACCCATGCTTTGAATATTAATTATTTCCATTTCGACGAACAACTTTTTGAGAATGCAGTTATATAAACTTTCACAAATAGTCCAGTTTTTTTACGATTACATTTATTGCAAATTATTCACAATCTAAATTCAGTTTTTCATAAATGGTTTTTTTTATGGGATTATCGTTTTTGGAAATATACAGACAGATTTTATTTTACGTTTGCTAACTCTGTATTTTCGATAATTATTATAGGAGAAATCTAATTAATTGCAAGAAATACATTTAAATACTCATTACAAAGACTTAATCTACCAAGAAAAACATCATCAAATTAATAAATGATAAAAATTTTAATTAAATTAACAGTACAGATATTAATAGACATGCATAGAATTTGCATTTAAAGAGTCTCTTTTGAAATGGGACATGTAGGATATGCAGTAATTTATCTTGTGGTTGAGAATTTTAAGTGTCCGAAGGCTATTTACTATAATTAGAAATAATAGTGAGAAATACAGGTGTTAATGAAATCTTATATGTAGATCCAATGGTTAGAATTATTAAGCTTTTATCAAGTCGATTTGTAATGAGAAAGTAATTTTTATTATGTTTTATTATATCTATTGCTATTTTTGTTTGTTTTTTGTACAAAGTATAATTAGAGATTGTAGTGTGATCTTCAATATTAAAATATAGTATATAACACCAATGATTTAATGTTGTTTATTGTTTTAAAACTTTGCATAAAATCAAATTTTGATTTACTTGTTATTACCTATAATTACCTGATTATTATTTTTAAATCTGATTTTATGAATTGAAGACTAAATGATTTAAAAAAATATTACTTTATACATTATTCGTTTATTAGTTGCTTTATATGGCTTTCCAGGTTAATATTCAATGCGTTTCTCTTATAAGTGCTTATTAATTCTATTGGAGTGCTAAATCATTGTTAATTGTAAAATATAAATTAGTGGGGCGGAAAGACTGCGGTCAATCAAGTCGTTATTAGATTATTAATAATAAAAAAATCTAGATTGTGTTCGTGGTTTGAAAAATGTCTTTTTATATTACAATAATACAGCAATACCTCGCATAATGCTGGTAATCGGTTGAGCCAACAACCAGGACTGTTTGAATTAGCCCGGTAATCGAGGACCGTATAAAAATAAATGGTACAAAAAGAGTCTTGGTTGTATAAAGTATTTTATTTTGCTCAATTAAAATTTATTAGTTTTAAAATTTTGAAACCGAACTTTACTGAATCTGTATTGACATTACAAGATTTTAATTATGATAATACTGTTTTATGATAATACTTACAATTGTAATAAACTTTAATTAGTCTTGAAAGACTTAATCGAATAACATTAAAAAATCGAGATTGGAACAGTTCATGTTAAACGTAATTAGCGCATGTCTATATCATTTAATTTATACTTCTATTGAACACGATTTGTGAGTATTACCAATAAGGTGAAACTAGTCCCGTCTTTTCACCCAACATGAAAATCCATACTAATAAATATTAGACTTCAATATTTTACCACTGTGTATTGAACAAACTGTACTTTCGCAACCGTTGAAAAGCTATTCGATTGTGTATCGATTTCAAATGAGTTTGAGTTTCCCATTGTCCCCTATAAATTGCAAACGTAAATATAAATGTGGCATTACGATGCAATTGCATTATAATTATTGATCGCCGGAATTGTCGAATGGAAAAATAATCACGTTGTTAAGACTCGAATAACAACTTTATCGTTATTCACAGATGCGGAGAGCGTTTTCTTTTTCAGAAGATGTAAGGAAAAGAACGGAATGTAATTAGAGAATATGGAATCAGATTCAATTGATCTGAAGAGAGACAGAGAGAGAGAGGCATAAATTACGATCAGGCAGTCTCGGATTTTAGATTAATTAGGTGACTTAATCGGGATCATTAATCATTGGAGATGAAATCTCGCATTTGTCATCGAGAAATGGGAGCGGTTTCTGGCTTCAAAGATAGACACATTGTCATATTTAAATAAAAAATGTCGTTATTTGCAACTGTATTTAATTGCACCAAATGATTATATAAGGAAAATAAAAATACCGTTCTTCACTTGAGTTATAATTGCTATACTGATACGTAACTCGTAGCGCAATGATTTGCATTTCTTTGAAGATGATTGCAATTAATTTCAAATTTGCAATTTATGTAGAATTATTCAATTTACTGTATTTAATCTACATAACATGACGGTCTGATTGTATGAATCCATTAGTTAAATTATCAATCCTTACGAAAGTCAAGCATAGAGTGTTACGGTTTGTAATTTAATTATAATTAGGAATAACTAGTATTTTATTTTTCTGTAACATTAATAATACATGAACGTAAATTAAGCCTATAATTATTTCTGGGAATATTACATGAATTATTATTGGAAAAAAAATATAATTACAAATATATCAGATTATTTGTCTCTTCTCTTTTTTCAAAAATATTTTGTTTAGTTTTATCTTTTATTATGAATATTGGTATATTTTTTTCAATAAAAATACCTGAATTGAAATTAGATAAAATATCTCTCTCGTACAATATGTATACAACTAATAACACGAAATAAGAATTTTAAACATAAACTGCTTAAAATATAGATAGTTTTTAATTATTATTTTATAACAAAGAAATCTTCTATTCTATTCCGTGATTCGACAAATTTTGAAGACTTACTTAAAATAAAAAATAATGAAGTTTTCTCTTAATTTAAAATATACTGAAAATAATGGAATACTAAAAATGGTTGTTACTTATTTTATGTTTCGTAGAGCAGACTCTTCCATCGCCATTAAATTTTGAATGAAGAAATAAATATGATTAGTTTTTGCAAATATTTTCCCTTTACGAATGTAAACAAATCTATTATTTCATTGTAAATATGTAATGAGTTGTAAAATAATGTAAATGCAAAACGGATAGTAATCGTAATATAAATCTTTCTTTTCTCTTTTAGTACAATGGAAGATATAATTCGCGATGGTTCTTTAAGATTATTCGCAACGGAAAGCTCATGTGATGTAATCTTGAGTTGCAGCGGCTACAGGCTAATAGCTCACAAAGTGATCCTCTCGATAGCGAGTCCTGTATTTCAAGTAAGCATGTGGTGCGTGTAGCATTCGAAATCCAAGCTGACGTCTCCATTATTTTCAGGAGTTGTTAAGACAAGACTCATCGCAACCTACCATGGTTATATTACCGGATATCTCTGCCAACGTGATGACTCTAATCCTGGATTACATTTACAATGGGCACGTGTCGATTTACTACGGAGAATTGCACGAGTTTCTTAGCGTGGCCAGGTTTTTCAAGCTACGGTTAGATTATAAAGAGGAAAGTCCGAGGTGCGGAAAGCCGATGCCCGAGTTAATACCCATTAGCGAAATGAGGAACCCGAAGCGTGGATCCTTCAACAAAGTGATCCCGTCACCTTGGATTACGCACGGAGCTCAGGTCTTCGAGGATCCCAGGATACCGAACGTCGACTTCTCGGTAAGTAATTGACGCCGTTTGCATCAATACTCCCATTCCGTGACCGAGGTTCATATAAATTCGAATTAATCTGCATCTGGTAGAAAAGCAGTACCAACAAACAAACAGCCACTTTAATGACCACCATTTAATTGCATTTAGATTTCGTGCCGATAAATTAAACACAGCTGTGTCTATTAACTCTTCGCATACGTGAATATCTTTTTTATAGCCGGATGAACATATTCGATTAAGTTTTCTTCTTTTACAGTCTCCTGATTCCGCATTAGCTTTATGTCAAAAGAGTGATGCTAACAATAATAATGTAGAAGATGTACCAAGTAAAAATGATCCTGAGGAAAATCCTAAATTGGAGGTGAAAAGTGCTGAGATTAACGAGATCGAAGATCAACCGAAGCTGGAAAATGTGAAGAAGCAGAAACCTTACAAATGCGAGGATTGCGGAAAAACGTTTAGTCAATTACGGAATTATAAATATCACAGGTAGGATGACTGGGGATTTTAAGATCCACTTGGAAAGCTAATTATAACTTGCATTAAAACTATAAATTGAAAACAACATGTGCTGTCATGAAATTATCATTCGTCAAAGTCGGAATTAAATCTCTAACGATGTTGTTAGAAAATTAATTTTATAATTATTGTATTTTAATGAATTTTAAAAATTATTAAAAAAATGTATTAAATTATATAATATTTGGATTAAGAACGATAAAATTAATTACTTGCGTTTCAATTGCACATTAAATGTAACTTCAATGTTTGCATTTTTGCACGCAATTGCCGACCTAATGCAAATTTAAACACGCAATAAAAGAAGTGAAAATGAATAGCAAGTGTTCTGTTGACAGTTCTCGATACTTATCACTGGGAATTATCGTTTATGATAAATTACCTGTGGTGTCTTGTGCAGACACATTTATGCACGAAACACATAGAGTGTACATAATTCTCAAAGAAGTCCGCAAATGAATAAACACGTATTAATTGTAGTCGCAACTGTTAAAAAAAATGATTACATTCATATTTCGCGATTCGCTACGGACCGAGAATTCTCATTACTCGAGTCATTAAATGTTGTTTGTCTGAGCGATCTATTAAAAACATAATTTTTATGGACGGTAAAATAATGAAAATAGTAATAAAGTGAAGAGGTCATTTAATTGTATGCCAACATGGGAGATCTGCCCATGTAAATCATAGACATAGTTTTGGAACATGTAGGAGGGCAGCTTGCGGTCACGGCGTACAAATCGATAGAATAAATCATTTAGTGCAATTACATTTCGAGTAAAACTGTTTCAAATTGAAGGCGAGGCGAATAATTTCGGTTTGGTAAAATGTAGGGAAACTTGCTTTTTATAGATCCATTCACGATGGCACAAAGGAATTCGCCACTCGATGCCCCGAATGTGGAAAGGTTTTCAATGATAAGGGCTATTTGAGCAGTCATCTGAAGATTCACAGGGATAGAAAGGAGTACGCGTGTCAGCATTGTCCAAAAAGATTCAATCAGAGGGTTGCTTACAACATGCACATTAGGATACACACTGGTAAGTAACTTACAGTCATTTCATATTCTATTCAATACTACTATAATGCACTATTTATTGAACTTTAGACTCATATTTAAAAATATTAATTTATTGCTATGTAAGCTAAATGTTTATTTAAACAATGTGTTAAAAAAAAAATCCAAAGTGAAAAAAAAGTTTCGCTTAAAGAATAAATTTGGTGAAACGTATTCTATTTGTTGATAGAGGTATGGCACATTATTATATTTTTCCATCATATATTGTTATAGTAAAATAAGATATTTTAGTAAGAAATCTAAAAAGACTAAGTTTTTATAAATAAAAAGTATTATTATATACTTCCATAGTGTTTTGTAACTATTATAGATATGTTTACTGAATAATATTTATTCAAGTCATTTATTTGTCAGCTGATATAAGAAGACAATTGTTTTAATAAATTGTTTTTAGTGCAAATATGCATTGCAGACAGGATATTTTTAGTTTTTCACCTATTTTTATAGATTCTCTCATCTGATAGTTGTAAAGTATTAGTAAATAGATGTGTGTAAGTGTTTCCTTATTAGAAATTCCTGTTGCGTGAACAGTTTAACGCGAAATCTTCTTTATTTATTCATTAAATGAACCTTCCAACATCCTGACACGTACATCTAGAGAAACATTATAGACCTCATGAAAAAGGATAAAAAGAGACCAATTTCGAACAATTACGAAGAAACGAGGGACGGCTGCAAATTATGTAATCAAATTCGATTCATTTAAATGTAAGCCAATAATAACAATTTCGCCTGAAATTTGCTGGATTTATACTTTTTTTTATACTTTAATACAAAACTAGTAAAAGATACAACTGCAAATAAATAACTTGTTCGTTAAAGTAAATTGTTTAAAGAAACCCGGATATATAACGTTCCTATTACTGATTAAAATATTTTATTATATCTTTTCAAATTCACGTAAAGTATATATTATTATTTATTATATATAGCCAATATATAATTGATGAATAAAACATTTAATTTTCGCCAATTATTAAACAGGTTGTTGAGAAGCAATTCTAAATAATGAATGATTACAAAGTGTCTTCAAATTATGTACATTCATATATAATTGATACATTTATTTACCGTTAGTAGATGTCGTGATGTGAAAAGTAAATATTAACAGAGATTTGCAATTTACTGAAATTTTTTTATAGCACTCTGAACGAGAGAGGTTCAGAGAAAAGGAAAACATATCACACGTTTGTTGTAATAATGTTTGGCTACTCTAAGGCTTTCAAACATTTGCATTTATTTCCATGCGCTAACTTTCTCTGCAAATACGTCACTATATAACCCTTCCCGGAGTGCAGATGAAGAACTGCGAACAGTTTGCAGCAAATGGAATACTATATTCAGAGAAACAATTTTCCTCACGTGTAATTAATTGTATCCACAAATAAATAACAAAATACGAAAACTAAGCAAAAAGAAGGAAAACTGTTAGCAGAAACATTAATTTCAGACCGTCATCGACGCCTTTCATTTCACGCACGAGTTTCGCATTTTGTTGCGGAAAGAATTCCAATCGAACAAGCAAAAGCAATTTGACAGAACAAAATCAAGTTTTACAGTTGATCTATGGAACGTCGTTTTTCTTTTATACCTTGATGTTCTTGAGTAAGTGCGTGAATGTATTCGAAAACTTGCATTTATTTATGTAGTGCACTTGCCTCCGAGCAAAACGTATTAACAATAATTTCTTGCAAAACGGCTATAAGTTCTCGCTCTTTATGTGTTCCAAACAACTAATGTATATTTAAAGAGAGTGTAAATGCATTTACACACAAATCATAACTATTATTACTTTGCAATAGACATTTTGAGAACATATATTAATGCAATTATGATATACATTTTAGTATAATGTAACCAAATACTAATTTTATTTATTGAACTGCTCAATAAGCAATATAATTTTAAAATATTTATATCGTTTAATTGCCATACAAAAATATATTTATATCATTATTTGATGAGTTATGATATTATATGATATATTTTATTCCGAGAATTTAATAAAAAATAATTATTTACAATTTAAAGATCATTTTAGAACTTTAAAGTAACCTTATACATTTTACCAATTCTATTAGCACAAAATAATTGTTGAAACTTCATAGTTTAACACATTCTTCTTGATATTTTTTTTATAAAAATATGTAGTTAGTTTGTCATCTAAATGTTTCAATGATGTTGAGTATCGTTTAAAAAATAAGTACTATTTTAAGTTACTTTGTCTTTAATAATATCAATGATTAAATGAAAAACGTTATAATTAAATTCATGATCTATAAATTATAACAAAAAGTTGCACATTGATTAAGTATTCAGAAATATTCTTATAAGCATTAATTTATTTTTAGATTAAAATTAGTAATAAAATGTACTATAGACGAATATAAAGTGTATTTACTAAATAAAACAAGTAAGCTCATTTTATACATTTCGTTTTTTTTCGCTTTTCGCAAGAACTTTTTAATTAAAATTGTTTAGGTCAAGTATATAACGCACAAACCGTAATTTCATATTGATTTTGTGTGTGGGCATTTAGATATGAATATTGATTTACATGAACAATGCTTTACGTTTTTAGTAAAAAAAAATAATGTTATTGCATCAAAGGTCCGGAATTGAGTTTCTTTGTGATCAAATATAGATGCTGGAAGGCATTTAAAAAGGTATTCATTAGTAGTTTGCTTGAAGCTGTATGCCGAATATTGATTCGTATTCTGTATATGCGGAAAGAAACGTGCGTTGCAGATTATTTCTATATAAATTTATATTTAATTCTATTTTCTTTGTATGCACATTAAATTTGTTTGCAAAGAATAATTTTAATTAAATAATTAATTTGATTAAAGTAAACAGTGGGTTTGACAAGATTTTGAAAATGATTTGTAAAAAAAAACGTTTTTGTACTAGAAGTACAAATAAATTAATAATATATAATAAAAAATAATAATTCATGATAAAAAATAATAAATTAAGTATTAAGTTTTTTTTTTAATTGAATTCATTTGCTTCTTTATATAGTTTTGTGTCAAATATACTTAATTTTTTTATTCTATAAGTATTTTAATTACAATAGATTGTTATTGTAATAATATATTCTAGTTGAGAGTTTTGTGGAGATCTAGTATTAAGTATTATTTGGTAGTAGTTTCTTTAACATAATTACTGAACGTCAATGTGAATTGATAATTAACTTTGTTTTAGGTGTGAAACCTCATGAATGTCAGGATTGTGGTAAAAGCTTCTCTAGGAAGATGCTGTTGAAGCAACACCAGCGTGTTCACACCGGAGAAAGGCCGTACGTTTGTGCGGAATGCGGAAAAAGCTTTGCGGATCGGTCGAACATGAGCCTTCATGCACGACTACACACAGGTAATGATCACATATTTAATACATTGTCCACACGGTATTCAATTTCTGCAATATTCCAGGTGTTAAACCATATTCCTGCACGCTGTGCACCAAAAGCTTCACAAAGAAGCACCACCTGAAGACTCACATGAACTTCCACACCGGATCCAAACCTTATTCATGCCAGAACTGCAGCCTCGCCTTTTCGCAGAGCAGCAATATGCGAACGCATTACAAGAAGTGCATTCTGAAGACGAGCGAATAGATGACCATTACTACTTACCTTGTAAATACTAGATCAAATTATTGCGTTAAATATGAAATAAATAATTGATTGTAAATAAGACGGGAAGTTATAAAATAATTTCTATTTATTTTAAACATCGATTTATCATATATCCTTTTCTTTCAATTAGGTTTAGTTTTATTTACACTGTCTTTTCTTTCCTGCTGAAGTTGTAGTCGCGATCCGTTCGAAAGCGGTAGCAATTGAATTCTCTTCCTTACATCAACAGAGGTGGTGGAATTGGGATGTGCAGCTGCGCTTTAATTGACTTAGATGTTGGTCTTCGGGAAGCTATCACATTCATCAATGTTGCAGAGCGGATTGAGGGTGACGTTTGCCGATGTCCTGCACTTGCCATCCAGAAAGTAGGTCTCCATATTGCCCTTACCTTTGACCTCGATGGTACCGCGGCACGTGAGCGGATATCCCTTTGCGTGGAGGATTTGATAAACCTCTTTTGTTACCTGCGGAATAATCGGATGTAAGTGGACTGTCTTCGATTGCTGCAGCACTATTTAGATTGTGGGTTTTACTTGAATCTTATCGACGATTCCTGTGCTGTCCATGCGACTGGCTACGTTAACTGCATTGCCCCAAATATCGTATTGGGGTTTCCTCGCTCCTATAACTCCCGCAACAACGGGACCAACATTAATCCCAACCCGGATTCGGAAGTTGTTGAAGGAATGCTCATTCACGACAGCTAACTGCTCTCTAATCCTCAATGCATAATCGGCCATCGCAGTTACGTGTTTGAAATCCTTCATATCGCATGTGCTTTGCGTCAAGCCTAACAAACAAAACAAACAAATAATGCAAAATAGTATTTACTAAAACTTTTTATTAAATACCAGAAGCAGCCATGTAAGTGGCTCCAGTAGACTTAATTTTCTCAATGTACTTGAATTGATCTTCGGAAAGCATCTCGTCGAAATCCGCGATTATTTCATTTAATAATCTCAGACATTCCACGCCCTCGTTGTTCCCTTCCAACTCGACGTAGAACTCGGAAAAGTTTGGAATTGAAGCGAACATCACGCATACAAAATCGCATTGCTCATGGTAGAGCTCCTACATATAAAAATATTAAAACCAAACTAACACATAACCATTTTTTAATAATTACGTCATTGTTTTTATCACTGCTCAAGAAATGTTCCGCAACATGAACAGGAAGTATATTCGCCAATAATTTGCGGTTGTAAGCTTCGAGATGTTCCATATCTTCTTTTTCCTCTGAAATAGATTATTTACGTACATAATCAAACAATATCAAGATTTTAATTTCAAACCTGTTGCCTGTAATTTCCAAACGAAATCTAATCGGTAAGTTGCTTCTGTTTGCTGTCCATGCAATACAAGCGCTATTAAGAACCCGACTGTAATTACAATACTGATATACTGCATACTCAATGTCACCTCATAGGTTGTCCTAAAACACAATAACACAATAAAAATAGTTTTAAACATAGATATTGTTATATAAATAATTATTATTTACACATATACCAGTAACAATTTAAATTTATAAATATAGGGTGTCCCAAAAATAACGAAAGATTTGAATTTGCTGCCATTTGTCCAGTAAAGTGTTGGCTACCCCAAAAAATAAGCAATTTGCTAGCTGAGAGGTTAGAGTTAGTAAAAGTGGAGCGTTGAATACATTATTGAGCATTAACAAGTGGATGCTAATTTTTCGAGCAAAATCATCCTAAGCGATAAAGCACATTTTCACCTTGATGGCTTCGTTAATCGCCAAAATTGCCGCATTTGGGGTCCGGAGAACCCACATGTGATTGTCGAAAAACAAATGCATCCACATGTCACTGTTTGGTGCGGATTTTCGGCTGGAGGCATCATTGGACCATACTTTTTAGAAAATGAGGCTGGTCAAGCAGTGACTGTTACTGGTGCTCGATATCGCGACATGATAACATACTTTTTTCTGCCCCAGTTAGATGAAATTGATATAAACATGTGGTTTCAATAAGATGGTGCCACATGCCATACAGCCCGTGAAAAATTCAATTACTACATGAGCCATTTCCTAGTCGTGTACTCTCTCGTTTCGGTGATCAGAATTGGCCCCCTAGATCTTGTGATTTAACACCATTAGATTTCTTTTTATGGGGTTATTTGAAGTCAAAGGTCTATGTCAACAAGCCCACAACCACCCCTGCATTACAAGAAGAAATTAAACGCTGCATCAACAATATTCAGCCACATTTAAGCAAAATGGTCATGGAAATTTTTTATAAAAGAGTGTGTATGTGCCAGCAAAGCTGTGGAGGCCATTTGCTCTGTTTTCTATTTAATTCAAATCTATCTTTAATTTTGGAACACCCTTTATATCTAAAAATATCACTTTAATAATATATGCATTGTGTAATTTATATACTCAAAATATGTTATTCTATCAAGCGAAATGTTATCGTTTTTAATATATTTTTTTTTAAATATTATTTATATTATATTCGTAATTGTTTACAAAATATTATTAGACTAATTTAGAACGAAGTCTATCTGCCGAAATATTCCAGTTTTTGTTGGAAAAGGTTTAAATTTTGGTTAAATATATTTTTTCTAGCACTATTTAAATGCATATTCAAAAATAAAGCTAAATCACGTAGAACATAAAACCCAACATATTAACAAATAAATAAATATTTGGAAAAATTAGACTTTACTGTTTCAGCGTAAAATTCTGTTTGATATACCATAATTAAGCCAATACGTTTTAATTGGTAGTTTGTAGCTAGATGCGCCAATTAATACTGTTGAAGTATGTATACAAAACAGAATCATTTGAAAGTTCATTTCAATCAAAATAATTGGCAATAGTAGTCAATTTAACGTGAAAAACATGGACCTTTGTAAATATAAACTAATTAATATTTTACTTTGTTTTACTAAAATTTTAGCGCTGTATATTTATATATTTTTTTAAATGTACTTTTGTTGATTTGGTTTTCTAACTTCAGATCCGGTAACTTTGATTTTTCCGACCCGTATCGATCAGGAAGACCAAAAACTTAGCATGTTAAGAGCGGAAGTGGAAGCAAATTCATGTCAAGACAATCGAGGAACTGTCAAACACTCATAACCAACCGTCGTCGACCATCTAAGAATATTTGCAGCAGATTGGTAAAGTATGGGCAAGTGTTTGGGCATAATCATAATCCGAAGAATGCAAAAATGCAAAAGGTAGTATTCGCGAAATCGTTTATTTGGAAGTGCTCAAACCAGGACAAACTGTGAATGCAGACCTTTACTGTGAACAATTGCATGGAATAAATCAATCTTTAATTGAAAAGTGTCCAGTGATTGTCAACGGAAATGGCGTTATTCTGCAACACGATAATGCATGTCCGCACTACGTAAAGTGAACCCTGGAAAAAAATAATGAATTGGGTTGGAAAGTACTGTCTCACCCGCCATTTTCGCCCGACAATACACCATCGGATTTCCATTTATTCCGATCGCTACAACACTTTATTTGTGATAAAAAATTTAAAATTTAAATGATATCCAAAATGCTATCACCAAATATTTTAGTCAAAATCTAATTGATTTGTATCGATCCGTTATTGAAAATTTGCACACTAGATGGCAAAAGGTTGTTGATGATGGTGTTTACATCATTGATTGAAAATAAAAATAAGTTAAAACTTTATTTGTTTGAATTTAAACCAAAAAATCGACATTATTTTCCGGTTCACCTAATACTCTCTCAATATACAGTATTATTATTATGAAATGAATATTTATAATTTGCAGACAAAAACGACAAACTGGTTGCACAACTACATTTGTTTTTAATTTAGTTACGCTTGGAGACGTGTTCCAATTAAATCGATATGCAAACAAACGAATTGAACGTGTTTACTGAATAATTAGTGTACGTGCTTCGACGCATTTAGAATAATGCAAGGAATTATGGACGTATTTGTTTTTGAACGGGGAGTATTTGAAGCGTATTCCGTTCGGACTCGTCAGCTAAGTAGAATAATGTTTTAATTTCATGTGACAGTCGCGACAGTTTGACTGACAGCTTCAGCATATTTGAATTACATATTACGCTTTAATAAGATTGTGCAATCAACAGACTTGTCTCCCTTTCGACGTGTCAATTACGAAAATTAATTCCGTTTAATATTTCTAAGGACGTATCGATTTTTATTATTCCATTTCTTGAATAAAATTATAAAATATTAGTCATAATAAAATAAAAAAACAATTAACTTACAATTAATAATTTAATATTTATTAATTTGCATTGTAAAATGATTCATATATTCTTTTATTTCATCCTTTTTATCATTGTTTAACTAATGTATTAAAAATTATTATTAAAATATTTAAAAACTTCAGATTTAAGTTCATCATTCATTAAGTTTTTCTTACTTACTTTTATATTTTTTATTGTATAATTACTGTAACTAATATTATTATTATTTACAAATTCATTTTCAAAAATATCTAAATTTATGATGTTATAACAGTAATACTAAGCAACAAAATTATTGTTATTATGCTATTGACCACAGTTATTGCTCCACGACATAACAAATAATATAAAATAATATTTATTTTTTAATCATTTTTCAAACTTCTACATACATTCAATACATTCACTATAATTAATCGTTATACTTATTATATTTATTTATTTAATTTAACAATATATATTTTGGCATAAAAGCCCGGGCTATTATTTCTAAAAACATATTTTATCGAAACTTTAGAACTTTTTTATATTACAATTGTTCAATATTCAAACTTCTGCCAAACTAGTATTATTAATATTGAAAATTCCTTTGTATCACTTTACATATTATTATTTTGGACCAAGAATTTCTTATGAAAATATATATAATATACGTCAAAGATATTATAGAAAAAGACGCAATATAAGCAGGAAATCTCTATGACATAAAAGTTTTAGAAACGAAAGCTAAGAATTTGTATTAGGAATTTTGAATTTTGTTTGAAATTCCCGAAAGTTCAAAGGAGACAACAAAATCAAAGTTAGGAATTTTTATCAAAATTTCGGTCATTTTTTAGTTGAGAATAAAGAAATATAATTATTTGTTACATTTTTCATCTTTTTCTACTTTTTAGGTTAATGATAAACTGCAATATTAATTAATGTCAAGCATAAGTAGTGTTAACATTAATTTGATTTGTATTATATATAAATTATTTGAAATTTTATAATCTGAACATACTATTTAATAAAATATATACATTTATGCATAATTTTGTAGCATAATAGGTATATTATCCTAATTACAGAATTTATTTAAATTACTAAATATTTTTGTGGTAATTAATTCATATCAGACTGCAATACAAATGTTATAAAGCTTAATTGAACAATATTTCAATAATTACTTAATTATTTTGTAATTATTGATATAAATAAAATATGCAATTAATGAAAAAAATATTTACAGCTCTAACAATTAGAATTAAATTGGTTGTACTTAACGTGTTCATTGCGAGAATTGGTAGCAGTACGCCCTCCCAAAGCTCATGATTAAAAATTTATATGTATAATTTAAATTATCAGTGGAGCGTATATATACGTTAATAAGCCTTTGGATCATGTGGAGCGTGTAAATACGCCGTCAGCAATTAATGATTTAACCGACCATAAGCCACCGACACTGCAATTTTAATGAATATCATTAGACGTACACATATTTTTTTCAATAATTTTAAAATTAATCTCTTTCTAAACTAGATTCAATTTAATAAAAACTATTTATAACTGTCAATATTTATGTAGTCGCTCAAATTATCTTTGCCATATTTATGAATCATTACAAAGTTTACTCGAAACTTTCCAATGTTGGCTTGGTTCTAGTTATTAACTTAAATAGACAATGATTATATAACACTAGTTTGTCTATACCAGGGGTGGCCAAACTTTTGATCATAACGGGCGATTCATAAGAAAAGTAGCAATTTAAAGCCAAAAATATGTTTAAATCATCAGAGATGTATACCTATCAGACAAGCGGGCGACTAGGAATAGTTACGCCGTTGGCGTTTATAGTGTAGCAGTGCTTTACAAAGTGTGGTCATGACGACTTTTTATATTGCCAGCTTTTATCAAGTCATTCAACAGAAGAAGATATATTTAATATTATGAATTAATTTATGCAGGAGAACAAAATTGATTGATATCCACACATTATATACGCTTATATTATATTATAGAGGCTTTGGCAACACGTAAGTTGCCCGCTGATCTACAGAAATTTTTTTGAATGTACTACTTGTTTCGCAAATGTGTGAAGAAATGGAAAGTAGTTATACTCAGCTTCATTTTCATACCAATGTATGAATTCTAAAGCGATTAATTTGATTTGATCTGAAAAACTGTATCATGACTGGAAATGACTCTGTAAATTGGCATAGTCAGCAGACGTATTCTCTGTTCTAAGTTATTTCAACTTATCGTTGCAATGCAAAGAAATTTCATTGTTTCACGTTCAAGATAAAGTAAAGGCTACAATGTTAAAATTAAATTTGTGGCAAAAGAAACTTGATACAGGAGAAGTGGACTCATTTCCCTCTATTCATGACTCGGAAATGTATTACACAGCATTTTTAAAATTTACAATTGGGCCTGAATAGTTCAACATTAATACAACATCCACTGCAGAAAGTTTATCGCATTCGGAAGAAGAGCAATTGTTGGAATAAATTTTAGGCGGTTTATTGAAATATAAGGACTATACTTTAACATGATTCTGGTTGCAAATGCAACATGTGTATCTAGTTTAAACAGAAAAAGTCCTGAAATATTTTCTAACTTTATGTCTATATGAAATTGCTTTATTATTAATTACAGAATAGACCTTTAAGACCCATAAAAATTTTAATTAAATGTTACAATTGTTAGTTTTACTTAGATATTTTCTTTATTAGGGTTTTCTTTTTAAGATAATTTCTACTTGAAAATTATTACAATCATTGTTACTTTGTTACACCTTTGTTATCAGTAAACAATAGTTTAAAAATTCATAAGCGAACCTTAGGGAAATCTAGGTTTTTAAAAGAGAAATAAAAGCAAACATATGTTCACTGAACTGAACAAAACTGGAAAAGGAAATATTGAAAAAAGAAAATGAAAGTAGATATTGAGTCAATCAATAAAAACGAAAACTTTTCAGACGTTTCCCCTTGGAAATGTCAGAACAAATAAGGGAAATCCATCAATTTCATGAATCGCCTTTTCAGTTATATCTTCGTATCAAAACCTTCACCTATATGAAGTCAAATGTATGATTCAGAGTAATCGTAAAAGAATATAGAGAAAATCAATCAAGCAATATTTTAATGAAATTGCCGTAGAAAAGGAAATACTATTTTGCATATATTAGTGTTATATGAAATGTAAAAAAGATATGCAACTCTTATTTTATAGTAAATAATAAAATATTATTCACTTTTATAAAATTATATAACATTTTTTGCCTATTATTATTGATTATAAATATTTATATACAGTGGAACCTCGCTTAACCGTTCCAAAATTTCCGGATTTTTACTCATATAGTAAAACAATTTTCCCTAACTAATACGATTAATTTTCTTACTATTTATTTTGCTCGTTATGCGAGGTGCTGGTTAAGAGAGGTTCCAACGTAATACATTTTTTCTTTTATAAATATTACAATTATTATATTTAATAGAACTAATTAGGTGCCTTTTGTGGATGTATTTTTAGGAATTCAATATTTTTTTATTTAATTCTCACATTATTGTTTTAACTCTGTAATATGCAGTCTCTAACTTTTTTAAAAGAAATGCAATATTTAAAAAAAGTATTTGATTTCTAAGAAGCTTATAAATGTTGTAAATATTACTTTTACTATAATAAATAAAACCTTCGGGATTGTAAAACATAAGCTTTTAAGCCTCTAAGGATTACTGCATCATTTCTAATGGAAAACAGCGTATGAAATGTGTAATAAACTCAGATTTATATCACAAATCATGTATTTATTTTATCTTTAATATTTTTGCTGTATATTAAATATAAATAATTATTATACACAAAAATGCTTAAAATATTAAGTATGGCCTATGTACTATACTTAATATTTTAATTATAGCCTACTGTAAAGGTCTAATGTTTTCTTTGTGTTTGAAATTGTTAATTTAGTTTTCTGAACTATAATTATATATAAAAATAGTTGCTCATAATTTTGAAATAATTACATATTCATATATTAAAATACTTACAAAAATCTCATTGATGTCACCGCGTCATGGTTGTAATTGATGTAGATTAGAAGATAACCAGTAAAAGCTGCCAGTAAGATAACAGTCTTGACAAGTGAAATAAGAACTTGGTAGACGGCGCATCCGATCATCGATAAAAGAACCAGTAAAAGAATCATCTACAAGGAAATGGCATGTGAGTGTATGTTGGATATAAAAGAATGCGATATGTTTACGTCGACCAAGAAATACGGAAGACAATCCTTATTCTGAGCAACAGTTTGAGATGGATCCGCGGTTTTGTTCGTCAGATTGTCCGAGATTGTTCTGTGGAGTGTTACGTTCAAGCATCGGATTTCCTCTGGGACATAAATCTATAAATTAGAGAGAAAGGAATGGTGTATATTGCGGTAATAGAAGAAACTGGCAGAGTAATTTTAAATTAGGTGGTAAGGAAGACTTACGGTCTGGAAGAGAGCCATGGTGTATATGGAGGAGGCCATTATAAGAGAAAATACTTGAGCAACGTTTCGATTGTTATGGATGTGGTGCGAGAGTCTCAGTAGGCCGCTGTAACATTTCTGCGAACAGAAATAAATACAAAGTATAATACTGAGACAAAAAGTGGTTTTTCAATTCCTGTATTAAATATTTTTTTACAAAGTGCTTCTTAAGTGAAATCTATAAATGACTTAAATCCGTATAAGTTTTCATTTTATTTAATATTTAAGGAACCACATACATATAAATAAAATATAACAACTGAAATCAGCAAAAATAATTTAAGAATTAATGTTAATTGATATATATTTCCCGAAATAGAAACTACTCTTACACCGGGAACTGAATTTAGCTTTGTAAGTATTCTTAAATAATGAAACAAAATTCATAAGTTTAACGTTTTTATTCAAAATAACTAGTTTGTATATATATATACATGTACTCCTCACTTTACGACTACTCGCACTTACGTCCAATCGAGTTTCGACCTGCAATATGAATAAGTCTGTTGCATATTTTTTATAATTTTACAACGATTCTATATTTCCGGCGTAATCTCCTCGCTTATTGATCAATTCGCTTAACGACATAGTCGCCGGAACGGAACTCGGTCGTAAAGTGAGGAGTACCTGTATACAGACAGCATTATCTCGTATTGTGCGGCTTGGATCAGCCCAGATTCACTATAGTCCAGTTTGAAAATGTCAAAACAAATTAAATTTTAATTCAGCAAAATAAAAATAGATTCTAAAAAATCCATTTTTTTGTGGTTTATTTTTGTATGTATTTCTCTATTTGTCCAGTTTCAAATAGTCCGGGATATTGGCGAAACATCGCATAGTACGATTAACTATGCAAGGTATTGCTTGTTTTAGAATATTATAAATTTATAAAAGCATATATACTATTTATTATTTAAAAGAAAAATGTTTTTTGCGGTGAATTATTAATGCAGATGTACTTACATCTACTTTATCTATATGTACAATGATGGGGATGAAGACGGTGAGGATTCCTAATGGCAGGACGACGAAGAGAAGATGCAACGTCCTTAAAGAAAACAGTAGAAAAAAAGTAAGCATAAGCCTCCTTATTTTATTTGTCTGGCTCCCTTAGCAATTAATCCCTTCGTTAGTAAAGCACTTACGTCTTTAAAGCTAGCATTTGTACGGATAATACGGCAGCGAAACACATTATGGAGCAAAAGAAGTACAAATTGAGCATCCGGTCCCTTTCTCGCGTGTACTGCAACAGATTACACAAAAAAAGAGCAGTTAGAGCCGACCACTCATCGACGTATAACTCATTAAAAATTAAATTTAAAAAAGTAAAAACAGATGTTGATCGACGTAAAATTGTGGCTTTGTACAGTGTCAATGGGAGGACATAGAGAGAAAGAGAGAAATTGAAAATAATATTTACAATTAAAAATTGTTATGAACCTTAGCCTCCTTCTGCGGATCCCTAAAGTTCAACAGCAAGATGCGGCAATGCTCCACCCTCAGCCTGTCGATGCTCCTCGCATCAATAGCCCTCATAAGATATTCATTCACTTCGTCCTCGGGGTCCTTCTCGTCCACGGTCTCACTGAATCCCAGCCTGGAACTCATGAAAATTAACGATGCTTAAATAATAAAACGCAAATATAGATTACTTCGCGTTTGTCTTCTTCGATGCTGCTCCATGACCCATCATCCTCATCTCCTTAGAAACGTTGCCGTTAAGTGAAAAATTTTGCGGAGAATGTTTACTCTGAAACAAAAATATTGTTTTTTTTGGTCCATATTTCTATCCACATATATTGTCATCATATAAACAATTTTGTTTATTAGTATATTGATCAGATCAATCGATTAATGAGAGTTCTGTTGTTGAATATACTTTACTAATTGCTGTATTCTCACTTTAATTGCTTTACTCATGCTATTCGCATGCATGGATTCGATTACGTTGTTTTGTTCTAATATTGACCATTGTGGAATATCCCTTTTCGCAAAGTTATGTAGAAACAAAAGGTTATTGCGAATATTCTTTATTTCTTAAGAAATTCAAAATTTGTAATTATTTGAGAATAATTTGGAAACGTTTCTAAAATATTCGATTCTCTTCATCGAATCCATTTACGAAGTTTCATTTTTATCGTCTTTATTTTATCTCGCATGGAAATTTTATTTTATTTAGTTGGAGAAAATGTCTGCTAAGTAAGAAAGTGCAATCCAATGTTTGTTCAATTAATGTCAAATTTGATTTTTCATCATGGCAATGTGTCCCACAGTTGCGAAATGCAATGTGCAAAAAATGTGTCATCAGATTGTTAGAAATTAAAATATTTTTTGAAAAATAAACAAATGAATGTATATATGCTATACTGTAGAAAACATAAACTTATAAAAATTATTTTAATTTGTAAAGATATTAAAACTAAAAAAAAATCTAATAATATTTTCGCGATCCTTATAAATACTATTTGAATATGAAATTCATTTTATTATCACAATATAACTAAATATAAATAATTTTAGTGTAATCCAAATTTAGTTAAAGTGAGATTTAGCCTTGTTAAACGTGTCTTTTGAACAAATACATTTTGTATACATTACAGCTAATCGACCTTCACGACGAAGTTTTACTGTATTTGTGTGGGGAAATTTATTGGAATTTCCTCCTCCTATTAGCATAATTGATTAGATAATTGTAATGTTATGAATAACGAGTATTTCTGTCTATTATATTAACAATTCTTTTTGAAGAAGCTTTATGTTATAGTAATTAAAATGAGTAAAATTATGTTTAAATCGGTATTGTATGTGGCTTAAATTGAATAATACAACTATCAGTAGAAACGTGTTCTAATTTTTCTTTGTCCTTCCTACACTGTAATAGCTGTTACAAGATACCATGACGTTGTTCAATTGCTTCGATTTGGCATCTCTTCTTTGTAAATTCACGTTATTTGGGTTAAAATTGAAATTCCAACCTAACTCTAAAGCAACTACTGTCATATATGTTATGTTATTTAGTTATTAATGTAAACAATACAAGTATAATGAGTATTGACAGTTGCTTTCAAAACTCTAGATAATCTAAGATTTTCTTTCAAATGTATACCATATTTTCGGACAGAGGGAGTAACTATATTATATTGTTTTGTGTTCAGCTTTTGTAAGTTAGTTCCTAATCCCTGTGAGCACGTAATGACCCAAGAAATAAGTTTCAACAAACTAATAGTTATGCAAAGTAGCTTTAAACTGTGGCAAAGTAAAACGAAATAATAATTAATCTTGTCGTCCATCGTCTTAGTCGAATGGAACTCTAAAATTACTTCCGTCACAGTTCTTTGCTTCATTTTATTCTAAATTATTTGTATAATATTAATTGAATTTAAGTCACATGCCAATGATTTCTCATCTAAATTCAAAAATAAAATACATCTGAAACGATCAGCGAAAACAGGAAATTGAAATACAAGATTGTCTACAAAATACTGACATGGAAGATCGGAGCTAATATCGTTCTTCAAAATAAGTTAGTCAACTGAATCGGAAAACGAAAAGAAAATCTCCTTTCAACAAAAAACACAACATAAAGTTTAAAGAGAAAGTTATTTAATACTTAATACAGACAGAGCAAGGGAAAAAAAATATAATAAGGGATTTTGATGAAAGGCAGAGACAACGCGGAAGGATTTTTTTTTGTGAAAGATTTTCTCCCTTTCAAATCAATTTGTGACCGGGTAGAAAGGTAATTTGGAAGTGTAACGTTCCCAATAATGAACTCATCACAAAACACTAGGGGACGCGGTAAAGAGAATGTAAAATGATTTGAAAGAATATTTGAAATAATAATGAAAAAAGTTTCTTTTAAGATTCCAGTAAAATGCAAAGAAAACTGAAATGGAATTAAAATGTACATAGAAAAATGTGCAATATATTATATATATTTATTTTTTATGTAATATTAATTAAGTTGTAATTCTCCTGTAATTACTTACAACCATTCATACATATTTTCTCCTAATTAGTGAATTATTTATTTAATTGTGTATCACTTATAATTTAGAAAAGTAGAGTTGTTCGTATTATTAAATAATTAGTTCAATTTTCAAATCTATAATAATATTTAAATATATATACTATAAAATATTTCAATTTCAGTCAAGTAAAAACAATCTCTCATACCTCGATTATCGTTACTTTTGAGAGCAAAGTTACGATGTAACGAACCCCATTTGATATAAACAATATTTCAATGCATCATGAAAAACAACCATTGGACAAAATATAGTCAAAAGTTAATCTTAAGGATCAAAATAACATCCAGGACAACAAAACCTTGTTAGCAACGAAGACAACAAAAGTGAAGACAAAATTAAAAAAGTTCCTGACGGAAAAATGTTAAAAATAGAAGGTTTATATAAGGGTTAAATAACAGAAAATATTAAATTTATTTTTAGTGAAAATGATCGTGATGTAAGAAAGAGTTATTATGAAGCGATCAGTGTTAAATTTGAAGTTTCGTTTAACAAAGAAATTTTGTAAAATTAAACATTTGTTAATCGAGGTTATTTAAGATTGTACACCATAAATACTAAAGAAAACTGCATTGAAATTGATTTCATTATGTTACATATTTCTCATACTTACACCTCTATAAGAAGACGCGACGATAAGATAAGTTTCGATGTTGTGATCTTTGAGATATGAATTGCGTTCGCCTCCCTGACCCGGCTCGACTTCGTAATCCTTATTCAGACAGCGAAGGGTTTCCTTTGTTATGTGGACCCTCCTGTGTGAACAAAAAAGAAGAAGGTATTGCATACACGAGAAAGAAGGTGAATAAAAATGATGCATAGCGTATATTTGCGAATAATTTGAATGCGAAGCGGGAGAAAACGTGGACCTGCATCAAATATCATTACATTCAAAGGGGGTACTATTTTTCATTTGATACTGTTTACGGAATTTATTTATTTAAATGTATTGTGTGGATCGTTTGGAAGGAAGGATGGAGGGAATGCTTTGAATACAAACCCTGGGATGCCGCCGCTTTCCATGTAATTGGCGAGTGTCACGTCGTTAGACCAAACGTCGAATTGCCACTTTCGAAGCCCTAGAACTCCACAATGCACCCGGCCTGTATGGATTCCTACACGCATATTCACATTCACGGCCATCACCTCACGAACCAAACTGAAAAAGTAAATCAATATGTACGTTATTATAATTAGCGAAAGCGCCAGGTACATTTTTTATACAGTATCACAACAAAGTACATGAATAACTCGCATAGAGTGAGATTTGTTTCCGCACCACTTCATCCGCCCCAATATATTTTTTCTATTTTTATTATTAATATTCTTATAAATTTTAATATATACATTTAAGATCACTGTCCTGGAGTATAGGACAAAAACTGTACAAAAAGAGACTTGTCTACATAAAGGAGATTAAACTATAATGTATGTATATGTTTCATAGTTTATTATTATTTTCTACATTAAAATTAATCTGGACAGATTGAATCCGCACTATAACTTGCATCTTGCGGATTCACCTTAAACTTTCCATTGCTTTATTATTGAAATTATATACAACAAATTAATGCACATAGAATGTCAAGAACCAAACAAATATAAAATTTTCCACCTTTGTCTTTTATGAATACGAATTTGTCTTTAAATATTGTTATTTCCTGGATGGAATAATTGAGGTCAATAGTGTATTAATATTTTTTAGTAAAACTAAGTCCACGCTAGAAAAACGAATATACAGTTTTTAATGTGTTTAGTGACTTATTTCATTATGGTCAGAATTGATTGTGCTTATCAAAATGAAAGAAAAGTTGATTGTTAATTGTTAAGAAAAGTGCAATAAAATGTAAAGTATAACATTTTAATGAAAAGAGTTTAGCAAGTTCATAAAAACTGAAAATAATCCGTGAATAACAAAGCAAACCGGATTTTAAATAGCTCACTTTTTGTTTTGACAGCAGCGATGGATAAAGTTTAGAATCTGAGCATTCTAGTTTCTGTTATGTATTTTTTTTCGATATTATCAATATTGACCTGAAAATATATGCCATATAATTATGATAGGAATAAGGGTTTCGAAATACAAATATCTGAAGGAACTAATTTGATTTATAATAATATAATTAGGAAAAAACTAATATTCTATCATTCATGATTGAAATAAAGATGTTTGGCAGTATTTACACTTTTATTAGGTTATATACACAACACAAAGTTTATAACAAATATGTTTATTTATATTAAATAAATCAAGTAAATTACGGAACTGGAATTATTATCTTAAAGATAGAAAACTTTTGAATAATGTTCATTACTATAAATTAATATAAATTTACTTAGAATTCTAATAATTAATTAAAATTAAACTAATTGAGTTAAATCTAAGCAGTTGGTCTTGATACGACTAAAGTCTCCGAGGTAAATTATTTACATTAGGACGAGATTTCGGCATTGAGAAAGGACGAACTACGGCAAATGGTTTTGTAAATAGATGTTTGACGGTAGATGTATATTTTGTAGATACTATAATTTATCGTTAAAAATTATTGTTTCAATAACATGAAACGTGAGGTTAAATGAATAACATTTACTATACTGTTATTCCAAACACATTGTGTGTAAACATTACATTATTTGCGTCAGACCTGAATAACTGCGTTGATTTGAATTTCTCGAATTGCTATTGCCGATAAAAGTGCCACATTTTGCATCTTTAGAATGGCACATTGGTACTTTGAATTTTTATCGACGTAAAAGGGAAAAGGTATCAATCGTATTGCAAGGTACATTCGCACAATATATGTGTATATACCTGGATGTACGAATGAAATAAATCTTCTGTTGTTGGGAGGGAGAGTTTCTAGGAGGAGGGTGGAAAATTGCTTACATAAAAGCCGCACACGAGTTTGTATGATGAATATTGCGAATGTGCTGCTTGCACATATAGGTCCAACCTCATTCACTTTTTTCCTCGATTTTATCCCAACCGCATTTCCATCCGCCCCCAACAAAATAAAAATATGTAACACAAAATCGAACATTGAGTAGATAATAAAAAAAACCCACATATTGAACCCAACAAAATGCAATTTCATATATTCTGAGAAAAATTGCGAATGTAATAATCTTTGATAGTAATTACAATATTAAGATTAATATTAAGAAATATGTTTTAATTTGTATATTGATTTATGTCACTGTTTCAAATATTATTATCATTATTATTAATTTAAAATATTACACGTAATAAAAATGGTACTAATGGACAATCAACATTATGTTTTTTTTTAATCTCTTACTTGAGTAATAGATAATTTATATTGTATTGTTGTTGTTTTAACAAAATTATTTCCTTCTGTACTATTATGTACTTCTATAACTACCCCGTAATTTTTCACTTTCGAAATATTCTATGTATAATGAATAAACTTAATCCCTATGTAATGATGATTGTTATATATATAAATCCTCCCAAATACATTCTTTAGGATAAGACTTTTTCCATTTCTAAATATTGTACTCCTATACACTACATAAAGTTCCTTACTTTAAAATAAGATGTTTATGTTAGTACTACTTAGACTCGTAAAACGTTCAACTATAAAGCAGAGGTCCGGGAACTTTTTTTTAATTATTAACCCAAAATATATTTATTTAACCCGTCTTTGATGAGGTAAATTACGGGGAGATGAATTCAAATATTTTTCATTAAACCATCGAATTTTAATTGACAAACGTCCACACGTTTACTCCATTTGGGAAAATTTACTCATTTTCATCAACCCGTGCTCTAAAAAGCCTAGTCCAATATGAACCATACTCTTAAAAGGGTCCTATTATTAGATCTAGAATCTAAGCTTCTTAGCAACTAGAAGTGATTAATATTTAAAAAAACTTCAACTTCACCAGTGCTATTCTTTAAAAATTCCACTAGGACTCCAAAACGACATAACTACCAGATATTCCATAGTGACCAGAGATATATCATCTCGCGACACAACCTAAATTCTATTTTATTAGAAACAATTTAGTTACTTAACTTTTCACAACTATGAAAACTATGGTAACTCTAGATCAAAGGTCCCCAAAATGTTGTCCTCCCAAAACATTAAATGTTGATTCGCCTTTAGTATCTATTGTCAAATTTCTCGCGAAGCAGTTCATAATGGATTTAGTATTGCAAAACTAACTATCGTAGCATTCATCTCTACGACATACTCAACTAGTATGTACCTAGTTATCTATTTATATTTTTGAAAATATTTGCTTAACACTCTCAAAATTTCGGAAAAGAAATGAATAGTGTTTGTCTCTGACAGTCGTATTTATAATTGACGAATTAAACAACGTAAGTACATATATAAGTACTATGTGTATTAGGTGGATTATCACATTTACGGAAATCCAAAATTTTGGTGACGACCTGACTAAATGTATCAGAGCCGACACCTGGAGGTCGATGTATACCACTTTGTGAATGCATCAATAAAATACCAGTTTAAATCTAAAACAATTTCTTAGATTTATGATGAATATCATGATTAACTTTATTTTAATTGGCAGTAATCCTCATTTTAATTCTTAACAAACCATTAAATTACAAAAATAAATAATTAACTTTTTGATCTCATTTACTCATATACTAAATAATTAATTTGTTCATCATCACGATATTATATGGATAAACTTTCTGTATGGATATTTATACAAATAGAAATAATGTAAAAAAAAAACCCTACTAAAATAATCTAGTAACATAAAATATCTAATCAGAAAATATAAAGTTAGTCGTTAGGACAACATAAATATATTTAAGGTGTCCCAGTATTTTATAGGAATAGATAAGGAATTTATAGGCGCTGCATGTGCACTATTTCCAAAATTGTGTGTTCACACGAAATTTAAGTCGTAAAGGTCATGGTGAAAATAAAATCTCTATTAACATATCAAAGAATCCTAAAATAAATAATTATACCCGCAAAATAACCCTCATATAATATGAACTTGGAATTACTTAAAATAACTTGTTCTTTTTTTTAACTATGTGAGAGGTATCGACTCTTTATAATTATATAATGAAATAAATTCTTAATAGAGTTAAAGAAAAGATTAAAAAGTAAATATTGAAATTAAAACAGAAATACATAAATAATTACCTTTCGTATATATAATATTTGTGTGTCTTATTTACTGTATAAATAATATAGTTATATCGCAATCAATAAAATGATCCTTATTAAATATTTGTTATAAACTCTGCAGCCAACATTGAATTATTTAATATACTTCTAATTATAATTAATATCTTACTAACATTTCTGCCACATATTAACAAATTTATTATTAAATATAAAATGTCAATTATCCTCTATATTTTATACACTAGGCAATATAATGCTGATAATATTATATAACATATACCAAATAATAGTAAAAGAAAAGAACTATACAGTGATACTTTGTACAGTCCAAAAAAATCGAAATCGAAAACTAAATTTAAATTTAAAATTAGAAAAAAAAATAGTACCTAATATTTTTGTATTAATCATCGGTTTTTACCATTTATACAGTTAAGTCTCTATATGTGCAGTTTATTTTTATGCGGTATATTGTAACGATTACCTGAACTATGTGAGGTATTGCTGTATGTTTATCCACTGCATAAAATATTTTCTTATATATTACTTATTTATTTGAAATGCATATTCTTGCGATGTTTTGTATCCTTCTGAATTAGATTTGACAAGATTTATTTAATGCATATTTAATAAATGCATATCAGTCTGATTTAATATTCTGTGCAAGATCCTGTACTGATTGAAATGCAGATCCTGTATTATCTGCAGAATCTCGTCACATCTACTCGTTTCATACATGCTCAAACACCAATGCAACCAGGTTGTAAAATTATTATTATACTAAAGCAATGCTGACTAGTCCAGAGTACATTGAACACTATTGTAGGACGCACTAATTGTTTCTCTGTAATCCCTATTATGCTCAGTTAATTCTATTGACTTTCCATGTACACGTGAGTACACTTGGTGTATGGCATGATTAGTGTGTAATCAAATTAATTTAACATAAGAATGACGCAATATAAACAATTTTGATTAGTAATTGAAATCTACTGTATGTATTTAGATATGCAAATTTTATGTGAAAAATCAATTCAACTAATGCACCTCAATGATAATTATAGTATTGCTAATGCAGCTATTTAGCCTTGTAAAGTATTTATAAAGTTATAGTCATATAGTAAATACAGTAACTCACTTAACGTTAGAAGCGTTTAACGATGATTACATATTACATATTTACAATTTTTAACGAAACTATATATATATTGTGTAATTGACATTTTCTCTAATTGATTTTACGAGAAAAAAAAACAATCATTTTAGGAAAAATAAAATTGATATTTCTATGTCCAATACGCTGATGACACTACATTGATTTCCCACGCCTTTTCCCTTCAATCCTCTATTCTTAACCTTCAAAACCTGCTATCTTCAAACATTTTATGGTTTAAAGAATGGCACCTCAAAATTAACCCATCCAAGACCAAACTCCTTATTCCCTACCATCGCATATCCCCTTTGTCTCCCCATGTTACGTTAAATAATCATTCCATTTTCCCATCACCACTTGTTAAATACCTTGGAATCCTTCTTGATCATAAACTCAATCTCAATTCCCATTCCAAACAACTCAAATCCAAAATTAAATCCAGATCCCGTCATTTCCGTAACTCTGAAATATGTGCCATAAAGTGCCAAATATCCATATACAAATCAATATGTCGTCCTATCCTTGACTACGGTTTCCCACTACTTTCACAATGCCGGAATCCTGTCCTAAAAAACATGTCCGTATATGTATATATTGTTATTGTTTCATAATTAAATTTATGTTCCCGGGCGGAAAGACCTCGGTCGATAGCCCGTTGGCCAGCCTATTAATACTTTTTTTTTAAATTTTAAATCTATGTTAGAATTTATTTATTTTGAGAGTTGTTATTATTATTTAGTTTTTATTGTTATCATATTTGTTTACAGAATCTACTTTTTTCTGTATTGATGTCTGGCCAATAAATTATTATTATTATTTATTAAAATTGAAATACAATAAAACGCCGATTATCCGGGTTTCAAGTTTATCGTGGTTCGGATAAACCATGGTCGCGGTTAGTAAATAATTTTACAAGGAAAACAAACAAAAATTACATATAGACACTAAGTTTTTAAAGCAAATAAAATAATTTAATAAAATAATAATTTTGCCGGATAATTGGCGCTTTACTGTATATATGCAAATATAGATATTTACAGTCATAATCGTTCGTGCGAACAAAGCGACACGAATGTAAAAAATTATCCAATATGCAATTAACGTGAACCTTTATATTTTAATTATCATTTATTTTCTTAAAAAAAAATAAACAAAGAAGATGGACATTGGAATTGAACATTTAAAATTACTTATATTTCTTTCTGTCGGCACATTTTTTTATAACTGTTGTTCGAACTGTTTTATTTCTATTTTTTGTTAATGCTCATTTTGTCAAATTCTATTAAAAAAATAACGTTTTGAAATAAAATAAAATTATGCAAATTTTCTTTCTAAAAAGTATATTAGGTCAAACAATTATATTACTTTTATCTTAATTAAAGCTTTTGTAAGACCATTTATTACGGGATTATGTAAGAAAATAGGATCTATTTTGGCATTCTTTTTTCTTATGGTAAGCTTTTAACAAGTTCACCAGGACTCGACCGTTCCGATCCGCAAGAGCAACGAGAACAGGGAAAGAAAAAACGTATTTAATCAAACAACCCGTTTCCTTTGGAAACTTGCCCAAACCGTCTCGCCTCGGTCGCGAAAGCTCCGGCAACATATAAATAATCCTCACTTTAACTTTAAAGACTTTATGGCAAAAAGGGATTGGTCCATAAAGTGTACATTAGGTTGGTCACAGCGAAACATGAACAAAAAAATATATAAAAGAGAGAGAATGGAAACACACCGTGTATTATGCCAGTCTCGAAATGAGCATGCGATATAAGAGGGTGTGGGGGAGTTAAAGGGTAGAAAACTTACGCTATAGCATCGATCATATCTAATCCCATTTCAACTGTGCAATGTGCATGATCCGGTCTTGGCTCTGGTAACCCGGAAACACAGTAGTAGCAATCCCCGAGCAATTTGATCCTCAGACAGTGGTGCTCTGTGGCCAACCGATCGAATCTGCAAAACGAGAAAATAAGATAAGAACATATTACAAAATCGAGGATTCCTAGAAATTTTCCCATATTGCTACGAAATCAATACATACTTATATCTATATATGCTACCGGTCAAATAAATAATCCATTATTTTAAGAAATGTTTAGTTATATTATTACAAATAGTTAACGTATGAAATATAATACATCGCTATAAATTAAATTGCAACATTATATCATTTTATATAACAAGTTGGTAATTATATTGGTTGGTAATCAAATATATCATACAAATTTAATAATATATTCCAAGTAGCTTATATATAAGTATGCTTTCATTTTGTATCCTTTCTATTCTCTTCGTTGTTTATTGTTATAATAATTATGCATTATACATAATAACGGGTTGTAACAGCAGTATTTGTGAGCCTTTTAAGGAAATTCAAAAGTCCTTTGATGTGGTAAAATGTTTGCCATATTTACATGTTAAAGCAAATTTTAACTCTGAAACATTCGCGCAACAGACATGCTTTTAATATACTTTTACTTTTAGAACCACAATATTATTATTTGGTTTATTCCTTTCGCGCCCTTTTTCTCGCCATGATTTTAGATTTTTCTGTTAATTGTAATGGACCTTTTTTCAACATTTCGGTTATTTATATTTATTTTTTCATTATGAAATTTTGGCTTTGATAATAAAAATATTTTATAACTACAATTACAGGTGTAGACACTCTAGAAGCAATTTAAACCCATAGCAATATTACATGAACTACAAGTAATGGGAGATCTTTTCCTGGTTTGCCCTTTTATGCGCAGATGATCCGCATTTTTCATTGTTGATGCATTTTTTGAAGGTCTGCTATATTGACGATGGCGTTTGTTCGAAGTAACAGTTCGCAAGTGTATCAAAAACTTGTATCTTAGCTGTTCATTTTGAAAGCACAATTCACCCAATAAAATAGATATTTACTTGAAAATTTGTAGAAAGTTGCGAGACCACAGAGTATCCGTATGTAGTTGATAGCTTTATGCAAGATTTGCAATGACCAGTTGGTATGAATCATAACACAATATATATTGAAATAATTATAACACCATACAACACGAGTGTTTGCAACGTTTTAGTCATTTTTGAAAAGTCATGGAACAAATATATCCCAATAGGCGCGAAAGGGTTAAACAAAAATAAAGAAGCAAATATAATTTTCTCAAAATAATTTATTGTGGATAAATACAGTATATGCAATTGCTCTTCTATAACGCGGTTTCTATATAATGAAACTTAAATAGTTTAATAACTATTTCGAGAAGAAACTTTAAAATATAAAGTTTAGAAGAAGATAACATTGACAATTCCAATTCTAATGATGTGAATGGGAACTTGATTTGTGTAAATTCCAATGTTTCCAAATTTTGGGTTATCAATTAATCGACTTATAAAATGTAATATATGTTTCCATACTCAAATGTATTATTAGTATAAATACCTTTAGTAGTTTTTCTGACTATTTTTATATAAAATATATGTTATTGTATTGGGTTTATATTTTGGTAATTTATTGTTACAATAAATATTATTATTATTTAAAATTTATTATATAATAAATATTAGTTGAATACATGTATAATGGTTTATACGGTATATAATATAGCTTGCGTAAATAAAATATTAGAAAACGAATATTGAAATTTTTAGAAATAAAGATTAGGGTGAGGGTGCAGAATCCGTACAACAGAGGAATTATTTTTTTATTTTCATAGGATTTTGTTAGAAGAATAGCGACTATGGTTAATTGGATGACGTATTTTGGCGAGGATTCAGAGAGATGAATGTTCTAATATAGGGAAGCTTTTCAGCACAAGGTTTCGACATTGAGAAAAGATGAAGAAGCCATAGTCAAGAATTATCCGAAATAGAATGTTTTGATAAATGTAAAGATGGGAAATATTTGAAATGAATCATTCTCTCGTGGGCTTAGCACTGAATGTTGGATTTTTGTAAAGATTTTGACATGATTTTTTAAGAACTCTTATTATTAATAGATACATAATATTAATATTATTTAATTTAACATATTCCGCTCGGATAGTATAAATATTTTCTTCATTTATAACTATTACAAAATATTATTATTTATAGTATTAATATTAAATAAATTCTGAGAATTATAATATAGCAACTTGTTTTTCATATACATAGCTGGCTTACTATGTTGTTATCAAATTGATTGATTATAGGAATATGGGCGTCATGCCATATGATAGTAGTTTATTTGCTAGAGTTCGTTAAATATCCATTGTTTCTAATGAAACCAATTAGTGTATCAATTGATTTTATTTCGCAAATATTTGGAACAAAATTCAAACGTTTTATTATGTCTGGTAGATATCGTAATACATTAGATAACGTAACGAGGGCAGAACCCAACTAGTGTGGTTAAAATTACTGGTTTATTAGGTTGAGATAGTCGAGTTGACGGAAAAGACACGGAGAGCACCAAACAATGGAGGTTCCTTTGTTGCCTGGTGATGTTGGCACAGCTTTACTTTTGAAATGAACTACATTGTTAATGACATTAGTTTCTTTTGTTTAGTTTTTCGTTGCACCATTTTATAAAAAACTTACAAACTACATCAAGAATGTTATAATATTCGAAAAAATTGTGATACCTTGATTTATCAGAATTAGTAAAAACAATTGACTTGTGTACATATTCTGAAAGTTGATTTTTCATCCTCTACTTTAGATAAAAGTTTGGTTCAGATCGAATTATTTGTGTCAGTTAACTATTTATTAGAAGAAGGAAGTGCATTTTAGACTTTGTTATTTTTATATTATTGGAAAATCAATAATGCCACTAAAGCAATAACTAAGAATTATTCTGGTGATTTCAGCTTCAAAGCTCTACTAGTAATTATGATGAAATCAAGAAATTTAACGAGAATAAACCGTGAATTAGCAGAGATATATATTAACAATATTAAAAATAACCATTCATATACGTTTTTTGAAGCTTGATTGCATAATATAATGGAACTTATACATAGTATGTATTCCGCTCTATTTAAAAGACACAAAAATACGAAAATATCAGCGCTTATGTTTCTTCTACTACCCCAAAACAAATATTGCTGTTACACTAAGTGGTATTACTTTAGCTGCATTATTCACCAGAAGGTGCGTGTACCTTCCGATGTACACTTATTTGGGTCTATGAAAAATAAACTTTTTTTTATAAATTACCAATATTCTATAGGGTTTTAAAATCCCCGGTTAGTACGAATACAAACAGTACGTAATATTGGTGGGATAAATTACCCGAACTGTGCGAGATACGTATTTATAACTTCTGACCAAATATATTTTTGTCCTAGTTATATTTCAATCCTTATATCTCAACATAGTCTTTTTTTAGCTCGATACACTTTTCCCAGCGATGTTCAATGCATTGTTTATGGTGGAGTGACTCTACAAAATAGCCATACCACCTAGCCATTTTTATTAAGTTTGGAAAGAGAAAATAATCCGAACTTTAACTCATTGATTTTAGCTATCGCGATAACGTATGTGTGAACTGGTGCATAGTCTTGATTGTACACAGCTTCATCATCTTAAAAATTTCAGTCAATATGCGATGTACAGCACTTTTTGAAATTCCTACTATATCTACTAATTCGCGCACTTTCAGTCGACTGTCATACAATACTATTTTGTGGGTTTTCTTCTCAATTTCTGGCATGGTCACCTTATTTGTTTAACCACTGTTATGTTTGTCTTGGCAGCTTGTACAACCTCGTTTAAAGTCTGCCATCGAATATTTTTTTTGTAAACGAAAGAGCAGATTCCTCCAGTGTAAAATCTAGCTTGGCTTTGATATTGATTGGACTGAAACCTTTTAAATGAAAGTATTGTATCACATAATTAATGATGACCATTTTTTTTCCATATTTACAAATTCACTGACAGTGTTCAGTATTGATGGCTGTCAAACAAATACTAAATAATGTAGCGGCTTCAAACTTAAGCTTTATAGTGATGCTTTTGATTATAGTAGTTTTTCAAACAGAAACCGTCATTTTTACGTGAGGCCGGTTACTTCTGAGACTGTCTTCGTACATAACACTAGCAAATATTTTTTAGAAGACATTATGTAATAAATGCAATTAACATTTAGAACGTTAATTTTGATTTTCATTCTTGTGTTGCATCTTCCTTGTGGTGGGTGCTGTTGTTACTGCGCGCTTTTGTCTTACGCGATGTTGTTGGGTCACCGTTTCTGGTGAATATGTTTTTAAATATATTAGAAAATTATTGTGTTCGCTCAAGAGAGATGTATATATTTTTTCTAAATTTTATAAAAGTATCATGCGGCCTAATATAAATAAATAAAATCAAAATAAGTCTTCATGTAACAAAAGCATAAAGGGTTTAGTTTCTCTGAAAGTAACAGTAAAGTTCATTTCACACTACTCTACTACGTGAACAGAAATAATAACAAAACCATTGTAACAACTCGCACAAGAACAGGAAATAAAAATACCGAGACTTCCGTATTTTCATCACGATTTTATGTATTTAGAGTACTTATATATTTTTTTTAATTCTTTTATATTTTTTCTTTTGCTTCCGACCGTATACAAAAATGTGCTCTATCAAATTTTAAAAACATTTATTTTTCTTCGTTCGCGTGTACTTCGTATTTTATAGTAGATGCAAGCAAGACAGAAAACAGTTCATTAATCATGCTTCTCTCTTGCTACGTTTTCTTTCTATTTTACAGCGGCAACCTTTCAATACGTTTTAACTCGCCCGCAACTTTCTTTTAATCATACCTCTTGTTATTTTAATAATTCAATATTTTCATACGGTTTCGGAATACCAAAAAATCTGTCTAATATGAATGGTCTCGTTTATACTTTCAAATAATAATTTCAATTTACTTTTATCAAATAATTTATAAGTTTTTATTAAAGAATAATACGATTTTTTTAAATGAATAAATTTCAACAAATACATTGATTCATTAAATATAATTATTTCATATTGATTCATTTAGTCCATGCAGTCCATGCGCTTGGAGATTCTCACGATATACAGGATATCGAAGCTATTGAACATTGCTGGGAAAAGTGTATCAAGCTAAAAATACTATGTTGAGATATAAAGAAACTTTTTGTGTGTTTTATTTGTATGTAGTATATTTTATAATTGTTTAACATTTTGTATAGTCCCAATTAAGACAAAATGGCTATCGACTACGGTCGTTCCGCCATTTGCTAACGATATTTTAAATAAATTAAAGGAGGCAACAAAGCCAAAATTTCAAATAAGTTATTAGTTATAATAGATCGGTGCAATGATATTTTTTGTTCTCTATTCAATAGATAATTATGATGAGTAAAATGATTTTGGTCGATTGTCGCTTGATCTAAATTAGAGCCAATAAATTTTGTGTCAAAAGATTAAAAAAAAAACCGTTTCTGGGAATAACAAAATTGTGCAATTACAGCAGATTATTAAATGTAAATTCCATGTAATTTGAACTAAATCAAAATTTCATGAGCACGTATATATATAATTGTTATTGGCATTTCAACAACGCAGTAATAATATGGGTAAACCAAATATTTACTTTCTATTATGGATGTAATTGATGAAAGACCACTTGCAAAATATAACGATGAAAAAGGAAAACAAAAATATAATTGAAGCTTCGACCGGCAATTTATATTTGTAAATTAAAGAATACCCAGTTTTTCATTAAAAATATGCCAATATTGGTAGTGTATATATAAATATTGGACTTTAATATTCAGTGAATTTCAATAATTAAAGAGTAGTTTAAAATAAACATTTAACTGGGACAATAAAACCGTTCGAAACTAAATTGATAGTATAGACATATATGACCTAGATGTTATAATTTATTAAAGCCACTTCGGACAATTCATACTAAATACAATTGCGGGCAATTCATCTCTGTGATATTTCGACTGACAGATATAAACTAATGAATAATAAATATATGAAATAAGTATTTTTGAGCCTTATGCATACAATAAATTATTTGTAATAATTAATATTAAAACAATTATTTATTGCTCAGAAACTTTAAAAAAAAATGAAGAAAGATTTACAGAAAACAATTCTATTAAATTAATTATAGTCGATTCCCCTTAATTGGGACACCGGTTAATTGGGATAGCCGCCTATTAGGGAGAAATCCTAAAGAGCGGAACAAAAACTAAATTTAATCCGCTTCTTAGAGACAATATTTCGTTTAATTTACTAAATAAAATATTAAAAAACATTAATCCTGTAATTTTTGTGGAACTTCGGATAATTGGGTCTGTCCAAAAGGATATACAGTAGAACCTGTTTTTGAGCGTTTCTTTTTTATGCGTTTTTATTCTTGGCCGCTTCTTTTTATGCGGTATATGAAATTCAACCATTTCCACCTTATGTTTTCTATCAGTGTGCATATGTCAAGCCTGCTCAATCGATTCTGTTAGTCGATTTTGAAATAATTCATCACAAGAAGATGCGCGTTTTGGATTACACGAGTAGCAGTGAATTATGTATGTGCATTTTGAAAATTTCTCCATATGTACAATGAATGGTTAAGTCGCCCTACCCACGATCAAACCGGCACCTGTTCGAATCCTGGTCAAGCCAGACCCTCTGTGAGCCCTCTCGATGCTTGCAGCAATAGGGCTATCGTTCATTACAGACGGACAGTCAAATGAATGAGGTTCAGCATATGGACCTTCAGCCAAGTCAATGGACCATTTAGTATTAAAGTTAGCAGCAGATTCACAGTCAAAGGAAATAGTGGAATCGCAGAGCATCAATATACTACTGAAGTTAACCTACAAGACGACAGCTAACCAACAAATTAAAAAATCATATCATCATAATAGTAACTATACACCGGGAAAGATTATCCATTTAATATCAACCGCGATCTTAAATTTACTTAATGTTCACATTGATGAACAGATTGCGAATAAAATTATACTACATAAAAAAATGTACAATGAGAAATTAAATGTTTTTAAAATGTTTCCATGTGTAATTTAATTATTTATTTAGTTTGGATGCACTTTCTCATATATCTCATTCTCATTTCGTAAATATTTAACGTATTTTTTAAGCGCGATTTTTTTTATACGGACCCTATCTACCACATAAAAAAGTTTGTGTAATATATTATACAAAATTATTTGTAATAAGTAAGATTTTATGAAAATTTAGAATATTTTTTTGTGCGATTTCTTTTATGCACTTTTCTCGCCATGTAACGTGGAAGAAAAATTGCGAAGGTCTTCCTATAAATCTGTATTCTTATAGGACGATTTATGTATAACACAAATAAAATATATTTGATAATTCGTTATATAATTATTTTATCTCTGCTATATAATATATGATGGAAAAACACGTGTTTCAAAATTTTATTGCTTTTTTTTTAATAAAATATGCAACCAATAATTTATACCTTTACGAGGTATTTAATGCCCTGTTATTATAATTGACAGTGTGGACATGATTCTAAAGAGTTAATTCGTTTTTACGCTGTATGTAAATACTTTTTCCTGCATGCAATGTTTATTTAAACTCACACTTCTAATCAGATAGTATCTTTATAGAAGATGAGAATTGGAAAAAACGTTAATATGAAAATTAATTGGAAATTACCCATTTCATTATGAATATGACTTTGTATTGAAACGATGTTACAAGTAACCATAAAATCAATAATAATTACACGTAAATAGACTTGTAATACAATATAAATTTTGCTGCAAGATTATGTCCTGAAACAAAGCCTCTTCACGTCAAAAACTTATTTCCTGTCTAATATTTATCATTTATGAAGAGAAGCAATATATTGAAATATTAGTTTAGTATTTTAATTTTTTAATAAAATACAAAAAAAATGTAATTATTGATACATTATATTGTTTTTAAGTTTGTTTTGATTAATTAAAAAAATTAAATGAAAATAAAACTCAATTAAATTAAAATTACTGTATATATAAGATATACATTTTATATATTATATCACGCTAATTTATAAAATAGTCAAAAATAAATATAAACAATTTGTTTAAATAGAAAATTGATAACAATTTTATTAAGTTGCTAAACACTTTTTAAAAAGCGTTTTAGAACTTTTTATCTTTTATTCACTGGGATCCTTCCTGTTAGTTCCTCCCTTTCTTTTTATCTTTAGTTTGAAACTTTTCGTTCAGTGATTCGGAGGGACGGTTAAATCATATTTGGGGAGATAAATTTCACATTTCGTTACTTACCTGGCGAACAATTCATTCAGGATGCGCACCAGCTCTTCCGCTGTGCATTGATCCGAAAGAGTCGTAAACCCACAGATGTCAGCAAACAAGATGCTGAAAAAATAAAATAAAAATTAATAGTTTTCAAATTTGGAGTCTCCTTTGGATCTTTCCGTTAATGTATAATATACTAAAGTACAATTAACAATAATGTTTATTGCAATAGTCACAAAAATCACATCATAATAAAAAAATATAATGTTTTAAAAAGACCTTTGCAAACTCAATCAAAAAAGTACAATTATTTAGATACAATTTACGTATAGATTAAACGAAATGGTATAAAAATGGGTGAGATATTTTCAATTACTTGTAAAATTTGACTAGATTGTACCAGCAATTACGTACATTAGACCAATCCAATTATATTAATCTAAAGAAAACAAATAATTCATAATAAATTAAAGAACACTTGCTTCAGGGCATGAAATAACATACTTTAGTTCCCATATAAAAATAATACTTAAGAATACTGAAATTAAGAGTCTACCTACGATGCATAATTTTCACAATAGTATTGAATAATTTGGATGCAAAAAAAAAATATGCAGATCGTCTAAACTTTCCCTTAAATATACAAATCAAAATTCAATGATTCAAGTTGTATTGTATGCTAATCGAATACAAAAACAAACTGGATGGATGGGCAATCTATAAATATGAAGCTTTGCTAAAGCGTCAAATGTCCATTAAGCTCAAATCGATAAATGAACGGTATACAGAAGAAAATGTCTCGGACCATCAATTATCTTTTTAGCGAACCATTTTTTTCCCTTTCTGTTGGCGTCATCAGGACGTCGTGCTTCTTATTAAAATCGGCTTTTCAAATATCCATTTTGCCGATATCCTTTAACAACGGAGGATGCTGCCTTCCCTTGACCCCTCTTCAATCGGATTGATTAATGTCGTGCACAGATCGGCAGAGCAAAACCCATATCCAACCCCAACCGATACGGAGTGCTCAATTGTAAGTACAAACACATATTTTATAGAACATATTCAATGATCGGTTAATTTCGTCTTCTTATATAATAATGAAAATACGCAATATAGAAGAATTGCAGATAGGTTAATTTGTCGCTCTACTTGGGGTCTAATATATTTATGATTAGTTAACTTAACCTTATTCAATATTCTAGAATTAGATGCACTTCTGTTTCAATATTTAGCATATACCAATTGTTGATTATTTACCAGTATAAACTTACTATAAATTAATTACTATTAATGCATTGAAAATTAACAATAAATACTTTTATTAAGAATAACATTCTGAGACATAGCTTAATAAATTTAATTAATAAATCTTATTTTTAAAATTTATATTGTGTAATAAATATTTATTTGCAAAATACTATTATATACGTTGTGTCAGATATTTTAATTAATTATATCAAATTACTGTTTAATGCATATATTAATCAAATGATTTCTTAGATAATTGCGAAGTCAAGTTATAGTGTGGCTTTTCTACAGCTACAATTCATAATTGTTTGTGATTTCTGCTTTCCAAAAGTTTGCAAACTATCGACTAGTTTGCTATGCATAAATTCAAATTGTTTCCCTTAATTTTATCGGACAATGCTATAATTTTGTTGTTGAAGAAAATTGATTGACAGAAATCTATTATTACTAATTTGCTGATTGTAAATAGTACATAATTACATAATTTAATACGAAAATTTCATTTAGACCAATTGTTTCTGAAAAAAAATCGAAACAGTACCAGTACCGATGAAAATGTTGAGCATTTAATATCAACTCGGTTCATAATAAGAAAATGTTATAGATAATTAGGATTTTATTAGTATCACCGCCACCCTTCTAAGTTTCTTTGTCTTGTTATCGACCTTCTTATTGTAATCAATTTTAATTATAATCATAATTTATATACAAATGGGCAGCAGTTAACTTTTTGTTTTATTATTATTGTATGTAAAATGTTGCTACATATCAACATGTAGAATTAAAAAGTAGTCATTAAATAATAGAAATAATCATTATACTTTTGTACTATTTATTTAAAAATTCTTTTATTTTTCTCAATTAAAAATTAGTTTGTTTTTTAAAATTTCAAAGATAACTTAATTGAATCCGTACTGAACAAAGTCGCACTTTGCGAGGTTATATTATTATAAATATTCCTGAAATTATCATTTTCGACCTGTATATATGCTTTGGTTCATATTATTTTATTGGTAATGTATATAATAATTATATAAAAATAGTTGAATAGTTTCAAAATTAAGTTAAATCATGTAAAATTAATATTATTATATTAATAATTAATACTAATTCAACAATCGGCACTTTTATAGCGCCGACTGATAAAATGGAATTGATAAAATTAATTGATGGTAACTCAACAACTGCGCACATTAGAACAACCACGTTAAATGCACTCACGACATTCACTCAAGTGCTTTAAGTTCAGGGAGTTTGTTTTTGGAAGTATTTAAAAAATACTTCGTGGATTTTGTTACGGCGCCTTAATTGATACATCTACTTGGGAATGAGGTGAAAAGGAGATTTTATTTGGGTAAACAATTAGAATTTACTTTCCATAGTTATCGCGTTGAGTGTTTCATTATGTTCAACAGTTACCTAGGTAATAGATAATTAGTTATTTTAAAACCAAATACAATAATTTCAATTTTATTTAATTGTTGGACCTTTCATTGCGAATATCTGCCACAAATTTGGAATTAATTTACTCTGTGAGCGAAATTCAACAGTTAATTAAATAAATTAATTAAAGTTAAACAAGTTTACTGCATATGAGTGCAGATACTAATATAATCCTAATTATCCGAAACATTGTCTTATTACGAGTCGAAGTAAAGTTTACATCCCCTTTAGGCGAACAAATTAAATTAAAGATAATTGTATATTAAAATGTATTATCTCATGTAAATACGTAATGCCAACGTCTAGAAGAAGAAAACGCAACGACGACGGCATTTGCATGCAAATTAAATTAATTTTACATCGCAGGTGTCGTCATGTTGAGCCCGGATGAATTATATAATGTGCAGGGAAATGCAGTAAATCAATGTTTGCCCTGTATTTATGCAGTCGCGTGTAAAATGTTTATTGAAAAAAATAACTACTAATAATTCACAAAACTTCAACAAACTTCAGTTACACTTTACTTTTATGAAACATGGTGAGTAATACTAAAGTCGAAATTAATATTAAATTGGTTTTATAACAGTATTTTCTGAGAAAGTTCGCAGTTTTCATATTAAAAAGAAATTCTTATTTATTTAGTATAAAGTTTTTACATGTCAATGTAATTTCAATTATTTGTTACCCAACAGAAATGAATTGAACCGTGATTATATTTTCAAAATATATCTGATAATTTGATGAATGTCAGCAGCAGAAATTCACCCTAAATAAATCTTGACTTGTATAATATATGTAATTATAGACGCAGCTGTTTTAGATTTGAAGGTATACGAATGTTTTGACAGCAAATATTCAGATTAAGTTTAGATTTAGTAACTGGATTCTCTGAAAACAAATACATTGAGTTTATAATTGCAATATAAATCAAATATTCAATTTAAAATTTCCTATCTTTTCAATAAAACTAGTACAAGTACTAGTTAAAAAATCTTTACCGAAAAGTTTATAATTCCTTAAAACGTACCAATAAATTAAAAATCTTTAAAAATTATACTAAGGTTCAAGATAGAAAATATTGTAATTAAGTTTAGATTTTGTACATGGAATCTCTGAAAACTAAGATATTGCGATAACAACCGCAAAATAATATATCTACCACCAAAATGCAAATTTAATATTTAATTCACGATATAAATAAAATTCTGGTATTGATTAATTACATACATTTTTGAAAAGTCGAAGACGCTTTAACACATGAAATAAATATGCAAAAAAAATATTCAATTTTGAGATTTTAAGTAGGGAAAAACGACATGGGAACGTGCACTCACGGGTAAAGTATATTTCAATTGTCTCGATTCAATTCCATTAAAAAAGCATTTTCCCTGTTGAAATTTTATGTGGGTTGTAATGTAAATTAAATAATTTTAAACAGAACCTATTTATATTTTATACAAATGCATATTCCTCGCATAGTGCGAGAAAACTGGACTAATCAAGGAACTAAATATGTACGAAAATAAACCGCATAAAAAGAGACTTGTTGTTCTTAATTTACTTGCACAATATTGCTCAATAAGTAATTTAATGAATTTAAATTGATCGAAAGCATTTCTGTCCATATATGAACTTTTTTACTTTATTTTTATTTGAACATGTTATTGATTCAAGCTTTATAAATGCATAGAATGCAGCAAATCTTTAATAAAAACATTTCATTGTACGTGTTTTCTACAACGTAATATTAATACTATAATGCAATAAAAAAATAAAAGCTCTAACTTACTACAAAAACATATATAGTGTTAAAAAACTAACTGTCCAAACAATAATTGAAAATTTCTTTAATAAAATCTAATATTTTTGGAAGATGTACTATCTGTTTTATTGCATTTGTCTCTATTTCGTTTTTTAATAAATAATTATGATGTCTATAGTGAAAAGTATTTGTAAGTAAGTATTTTGTTTATTTTAATATATTTTTTTCCATGCAAAAACCATGATAAAGATAGTATAAGTATATTTTGAAATATTTAAAAATCCCCCGACTTACGAACAACCCTTTGGAACGAACTAGTTCGTAAGTCTAGGGAAACCTGTATTAGATCTTTATACTTATTACTATTTCTTCAAACATTTATCGATCATAATCCACTATAGTTTCGTCTAATTTTTAATAATTAGATACAAAATTATCAAGGTCAATTGAATTAACAATGCAAATTTCGAGCTTGATATATTCTTGTACGTACATAATTATGAAGTTTCTTAAATTTGGTAACTTTATTTTTCCAACTTTGATTGTGTTTGATTGATTTGTACAAAAAAAAATTGATGCATATACTTGGTTAAAAGCACTAATGCTTGCTATGCATGCTTACAGTGTAAACTTTACACTGTTATTTCTACTTTTAGTATTGTATCACATACAATACTACCACATTCCGAATACCATATACTTTATGAAATAGATTATTATATAAAGAAAAAATCTGAACACATGTATAATGAAGAAGAAATTATTTTTAGTTGGCGAATGCTGTATATCGAAATTACTGCTGATCGGTAAGTTTCGGATAAAATAAATGAAGGTTTAAACCAGAGAAAAGCACTAGTACGTACTATTTTTGAGAAGAATCAGAATTTTTTAAACGACATATTATGAAAGGAAATGTAAAAACTGAAAAATATAAGTTGTAAACAATGTAAACAAAAGTTCGCTAAGTTGGCGTTAATTCATTTGTTTCTGAAAAAACAAAAGTTGTTTCTCAATTTGATATTTCATGTCAAATTTCAAGAAGAAGATGCAAGATTTGTGAAGTAAGGTTGGTAGAAATTACACTACTAACACAGAAAAATTTGTTTTTGCCATTCTCTACTGAAGTCAACGTCAAGCCTCTTGTGACAATTCCAAGTGGTTTCAAAGATTTCAGACCAGACATTTTTTTTGTGGAGGACGAACCTCGTGAAGGTTGCCAGAAATCTTCGACCAATGATATAAATGTAGCGCTGTTGAAGGCAAACATTGACGAAGATCCAAGAGTGACACAGGAAATGGTAGTTGATGAACCGGGCTTGAATGCCATGGCTTTGTCGCAAATATTAAATCATCACTTAGGTTCCACGATATTTAATTAACGACCAAATAAAAGCATTTTATTTCCGAATATTTCTTTGAAAATGGAGATTCTAGCACTTTCAGTAAAATCGTAACAGGTGATGAATCTTGATTCTCCCTCCAGTGAATGCAAGACAACAAAAATCAGCAAAAAAAAGTGATGATGTCGATTTACTTTACCAGGGTAAAAGTGGTAGCTGCTATCTCACTCGAAACTGGTCAGATGGTAATTGCTAAGTAGTACACAGAAACTTACTTACCACAAGTTTTCAAAAATTTGTTGGAAATCCAGAAAAAAAAAAGCGGAACTTCGACGCTACATCACTCGCACTACTGAAATAACCAACAACTTTCTTGCGCTCTTTCGCATCAATGAAAATCGCCAAGCACTTTGTTCTATCGACCTCTTGCCTAGTGATTTCTGGATGTTTCCGAAAATTTAAAAAAATAAAGTAAAGTCTTCAGTTCCAATAAAGAGATCATTAATTAAAAGTTGAAAAGCTCCAAAAAGCCGATTTTGAGGAATGTTTTAAAAGGTGGCTCTACTGACTTAGGAAATGTATTGAAATAAATGGAAATTATGTAAAGAAATTACAAAAAGATGAAAATTAAAAATATTAAAATAAAATTGTGTTTATTTTGTTTTTTTTTCAGCCAATTTAGCGAACTTTTGTTAGACCCCTCGTAAATGCATAGTACATATATCTCGCACAACTATTTAATTGTATAAGTTACGTTACAAATCTTGCGCTGAATATAGAATCTGTCTACAAATAATATATGAGACGCATCATAGATGACATGCTTTTAATTTGATTTACAAACTTTCGTATATAACTTCGTATTGTAAAATAAAAGCTAAATATTAATGAACTTGGATGTTGACATTATATAAATATATTTTTTCCATAAAATTTTAAGCTTAAAATCATCATAAAAAAGATCAACCAATAAAAAGTTTTATAACTCGTATTATGTAAGCTTTTTATTGGGACAAAGATCATGAATAGCAAAACATTGCCGAAATGTTTATACCATGAAGATCCTTCAAGCTTTCTTCATATATATTTTTTATATAATATTACGCAAATAGGGTAGGTTCCAATAAAAGGACGAAAATATATATTCGATGTCTTACCTTACGTTCTCGTGGCGTTGTATGTAGATTTTATGAAACTGCGCTTCCTTCTGTTGTCCTGCAATATCGGCTTTCATTTCCATGGCCACATGCCTAGGCAGAACGGACAGCAGTAAGCGTTCCTGGAATGCAATAACACAACAACGATCATTGTTTCAGGAATGCTGTTTTTTTCTGTTCATGTTTTTTGTGAGTGTGTTTATTCTTTAAAGTTCACTTGCGCGGAAACAGTTGCAATGCGAATCGAATCTAACAAACGGTGTACAGACAGTATGGACGTGCACACATGAAATAATTTCAAATCATTTTATGAAATACGTAAAACGAAATTCTGGACCATCGTCAAACAAAATAGTATAGAACTATGCTCATAGCAACAAATACTAAAAAATATATAGGATATAGGACCGAAATTATTTAAAAAAAAATCTAATTTGTATATGAATAAATACATTATTGGATATGGATATGTAATGTAATGTAGTGAAATACACAAATTAATTATATCAAACTGTATTATTTACAATAAATTATCTATAAATATAAATTTCAATATTACCTACTAATTATTGTATATTTATAATAAACAATTAAACGTTATAAATAAATATATTTAAATAAATATTTCAATGTACAATTATTAAACAGCAAATATTTACTTTTATATTTAATTCAAATCGATAACAAAAATATGTGACGTATTATATGCATTTAATGAAATATTGACTTGCTAAATGGGAATATTTGCTGCATGTTCAATTTACTACATACTACTGATCAAAGCAATTCGTGTTCATTGAAATGCAGCATAAATCCATGTTTACAATGGACCAAATTATACTGGTATTTTATATATATAGACAGTGGTGTTAAGTGGTTAAACAAATATTTTAATCTCTATTGATCCCTCTTATTATGTATATACTTAGTATGTATATACTTAAACTATTTTTATTGCATCATTGTCAAAATTAAGAACAAAAAAATAAGTACAAAATATTTAATAATCAAATCTTTATTATCATACCTGGATTTTCAAATAGAATGAACCAAAAAATTATTTCGTTAATCGAAATTTCATTAATTTCATTTTCAGAGGTAAAAATACTATTCATAACTATTGGACAATTGCGGACTTTATTTTCAGAGATAATTTTTAAGTATGACTCTAGTATAATAATTTTAATATGAATTTTGATTAATGTGACACTATAATAACACTATAAAATATAATCAAAGAGAAAATAAAATATTTACATTACAATAGATTCCAATTGAAAATAAAAGAAATAAAAATTAGATCAATGAAATTGAACTTATTCTTAAACTTCTTGCCCCTTAATTTACATAATTAATATTATGTTGAGCATGTACTTGACACTAACATTAATAAATATAGAATTTTTATAATGTGCTGATTAAATATATAACGGTATTAAACGTTGTAAATCTTTTGGATGCAAGTAAATTGAATATAAGTCAGCTAATTAAAGGATGTTGAATGAAGCAAACACATTGAAAATAAACAAATGTAATGTAATTGAATAAGCAAATTAATGTACTTTTAATTACAGCCGTAGTACGGTTTGGAATTACTCGTGCATAGAAAAGTAAATAGCGTTGAATCTAAATAAAATGTGCAAATGTTCCACTGAGATTTAAATAACCCGGCAGTACACAAATTAACTTTGATTAATTACGCCAAACTAACTAGTATTAAATTATGTAAAATTTGAACTGAATCGCTTCTTTCCAAATATTGGAATACGTCAAATTTATGTTGACATATAACCAACTAATATAATTGATATGCGTTGCAAATCAGTTTCAGTTGATTGCAATCATCGATTTTTTAAAGTTCATTAATTAGATTTTACTCTTTGAATCAGGAACTAAAAATATAATTAGAGTTTAAATTCTTTAAAATTTAGTATATTGAAATATATAATTCTAAATATTTTTGTTAAAGAATATTTTTATGTTAAATTCGGATTTTATTTATTGTTCTTTCATTAGTTATTTTCTTGCTGTATAATTATATGTTTCTTTTACCATCATTCCAAAAATGTCATTATTTAATACTTGTTTGAAAACGCAAAGATTCTAATCTCAAAACTTAAACGTTCTTTATGTTTGAAACCTCCCAAACCAATTGTTCCATAATTTCTGATAATTTTAATTTATCACTGCTTGATAAACGTTTTACTCGGTTACGAACATTTTTTAAAATAACTTCAGAACTTTCGTTTAAACCACTTACTATTAGAATTAGTATTTTTTTGTTTAAAATTTTAAAAATTTACAACTTTAATAATAATTATTTTTATCGCATAATAAAATATAAGTTTAAAAATAAACATTAGAACCTATTTTAGTTAATATGCAGTTTGAGAACAACTTTATGAAACATAATTTAATACATTATCAGCAATTTTCTATTAATTCATTTGAATTTCAATGATTGAAGAATATTCCTGTTCCTGTTATGTAAAATAAAGTGCTTCATTAAAATTTTATCTAGAAACGCATTACTTTACTGCATATAGTATATTTTATTTATGTACAATTCGCTGTAGCATTACCAATGCTCAGACTATACCAATGCAAAAGCACTTATTAGTATGGACAGCAGACGTTCGAATATTCAAATTGCAATAGGCAAACTGCCGTTCTCAATTAACTCCAGTTTCCGTACATTGGGTCCAAAGTTTAATGGATGACAGTTCTCTGTAAGTAATTATTGAATGTATCTCATAATTATTTACGTCAAGATGCTTTACTATCAGTATTACAATATGAAACCATGAAATACAATATTGCAATTCTATTAAGTAACAATTGATTGAAAATGATATAGCAATTTGTACAAACTAAATAGTGTTAATTCTACTAATTTTATAATTGTTTAATTTCGTAAGATTTCAAAATCGATATAGATAATTAAAGCAGGAAATACCCGGATGCTACTGCTTCAATATTTACAAAGGATCTTTTATTCGATACAAATAAATTAAATAAAAAACGCTATATTTAGCTATCACAAATATTATATACATTCACGTATTAATTTAATATATTTTTTTCTACTCTAAGTAACATATTAAATCATCTATATCAAGGTTTCCCAACTTTATGCCCGCGGGCGTTTGTCGATCAATTTGTATATGCCCGCCACTTTTCTAGCATGAAAGCTTGCCGAGTTAACTTTCCCGGATTCCATTATTTTAGATTGATAAAATTGATGATGCTCGTCACACCGTATTTTAGGACAGCGATTAATATCCGAGAGAGCGCGAAGAGTATTTAAGTTTTGATATATTTACAAATCAAAATACTTTTTGTATATTTACGATTTCTACACTATAAAAAAACATACATTAATTTGCTTATTCTTCTAGAAATATTTTAATTACTGACAATATTAATTTCGATCATTCTAAATCAACTAAATTTATCTATGCAAGGATATCAACACATTTTTTCCATGCCAGATAAAATATAGGAGATGAAACTGAAACTTCGATGAATATAATCGAATATTTTCAAAATGTTTCCAAATTATTCTCAAATGATTACATATAATGAGTTTGTTAAAAACATACAAATTATTATAATATCCTAAAACCACTATTCTAGGATATGTTCTATGGTACAAAAAGGTTGTGAACCTCTGATCTATATGAAATCATATATGTTACAAAGTATAAAATTGCAGAAGGAAATAATTTTACGTCATCTTACTTAGTAAATATTTTGTAGGAAATTGCTTAAGTGTGTGGCATACAGAAACTGGTGATAAAATAATCCTTTGGTTTACTATAATTGAATTATATTTTGCATGAAATTATAGAACTGTTCGCTGTCAACAACGTTACATCATGGTCAGGAAAGCGGAATAAGGCACTTACGGCAAGCCGAAAAGAAGTTAATGGAAACGCTCCAACAATGAAAATGCATTATATAAAATTATATATAAGTGAGCATATTGGTAGTTCATGCTAAATGCCATGTACATAAATGATGGTGATATAATACAACTTATTAATAAAAAAGGCATTATGCAAGATATTTTAACACAAAATTCTTATGGATTTATCTTTACTTCTATGTGCTAAATTTTGCTACCATTGCGGTTTCTGTTCACATGGAGAAGTAATTCTCAAACTTTTTGCTCCGAGCCCCACTTAGACTTAAAAATTTCTGCTTACCCCCGAAGAATGGGTATGTGTAGAAAATCAACCAGAATTGATCTGTCATTATTTTTTTGCTTTGAAAATATAACAATTTCATATGGTTATTATTTTAGCCAAATCAACAAAATTGCGAGATAATCCATATAATATGTTCGTATATAAAGATTCATCCACACTTTAAATTATAAATAACGTAAATATATTATATAATAAATAATTTGTAATAAAGCATGTTTCATGCATTACATATTACTTTATATAAAGTGTGGCCATAAAACGAAAACACTTTTTTTTTGTATATAACTTCAAGTAATACGCAAACTTTATTCGTTTTAATCTCATGCAATACTTTCAACACTTAAACGCAACTATAAAATTCTTAACGCTATGTACGTAAAGTGTAAAACTAACGACTTATTTGTGTTTCAATTAATTTCTTTTATTTTTTCTCCTTGTTTATTTAAATATTTTATTATAACTGACTCAAGTCACATCTAAATAATTAGTATTAAAAATGAAACACAAAAATGTGATCATCATTGTGAATTATTTTGTTGTTCGAATAATGTAAAAAATACGAACAATTTATTCACAATCTCTTGCACGGTAAATCTCATTTGGCTAATAGTATATAAATGTATTTTTATTCTGAAAGTATTATTTCTTAATGAATCGTCGGAACTTATGCTCTATTTTTTGCAGTCAGGCATATTTTCTTCACAAAACTACACAAGAAATTGAATCTGATAATATTTCAGAAAGATAATATTAAAGCGATACTTGATGATTGATCCGTACCTTAAATAACTCTACCTTATAATCTCCTATATTAAAAACATATTTCGTTTTTGTAATTGATTTCCATATAACGTAAATGCAATCAATATTAATTTATAATGAATCGCTACGAGTAAATAAAACTTAACTAAACCCAAACAATGTGTTCCTTCCTGTGTTGCAGACAGATCTGTAACGAAATAATTGTGTCTCGAGGGCAACGAATGTTTATTAATTGAACCCATGAGGTTGGAACCCTCTGCCGAAAAGGAAATCGGCTAGAGTATGTATCTTGACTAGTGAACGAGATCAAAAGCGGAAATGTGTATGTAAATAGCCGGAAGGATGACGTTACCTGCTGCTGGTTTTCCCGTTGGATTTTAAGACGGGCCTCTATACACTGCCTGGTCTCTAGGAAGGCCTTCCTTTGGGCGATTTCTCTCGGGTAATGGGTGCAAGCTCCGGCTATATTCCCGCACATCAGTACCAGGAAGCAGTTCCCCACCTGCTCGGGAACACCTCCGATGTAGGCGAGACCCATCAGATGAGCAAAGGCTAGAATCGTACCGGCAATTAGAGCATCCTTCAGGCAGATAGGCAGAAGGGCGTATGTCAAATAGGTACACGTGAGGGCGGACACTGTACCAATCAACGGTCTTTGCACGCCGCTAAACACGCTTATGCACACCTGTAACAATAAGAATGCGTGAGAATTCATCTATTAATTAAATCCAATATTATGTTCAGTATACTTATATATACTGCACTTTAATAATATAAATGAAAGTCAAATTTAATCACTCCTTTCTGAAAGTATTATACATATATCTCAATTTAATTATAATTAGTCATATGAAAATATGGAGTATTTACAAAAATAATACCTAACTGAAGTAATCTGAACCTAATACATTCTATGAGAATCAGTTAAAATAAATTTAGACAAAGTCAAATAGAATTCTTCTAGTATCTAAAACTGTTAAATTTATAAATTGAAAATCCTGTTACCAAATGTTTATAACTTTATCTAAAGAGTTTTTTTTTATAAAATAAATCATGAACAACTGATTTAAAAATCAATTCTGACCCTTATGCACACCTGCAGCAATACAACTCCGTAAAAATCCATCTATTAATTATTTCCAAAGTTCTCCATGTGTGTAATATGTGCTTGAGGAAAAGTTCGAACCGCGAAGTATAGGGGTGCGAGTTTAGTTGTTCGTAGCAAAAGGCGGAAACTTGCTTTTGGAGAAGCAGAAAGCCGAGACCCCACAATTCTCAACACACAATTCAATTGTACGCTTAATAAATAATTTCCAGAGCACTCACCTCTAATGTCAGGAAAGTCAGAAGAACAAAGTACGAAATTATTATCAAGTAGACCTCGTTCATGGCTGGCTTCGAAAGGACTGCCAATAAAACTGAAACAAATTAATACACAGTATAATTATTAAAGGGGACGCAAACCTCAAACCTTTTGTGACCGAGAACTGTGTAACGACCACATACGCGTATACAAATAGAGAATCCAACCAAATGGAAACATTTTAATTGATCGTACTTGTTTCTCTAACTTTCGTTTCAGTTTTACTCGATAAATGAAAGCAACGCAATACGGTAAACTTGTGCTCATATACTCAAATGGCTTATGAAGTTTCTAAAATTATTACCAATAAGGGCATTTGTAGTTCAAGGGGATTTGAAATGTTACGTGATGAAACAAAATGAAGCAAGCTGGAAATAATGAGAATGTTTCCACATACATGATTTGATATACATTAAATTATTTTAAAATAAATTTATTTATGTATCTGTATTCATAACCAAATAAATAATATCCAATATATATGTGATTGTGTCAATTAATTTAAATATAAATATTCAATTTTTAATTTACCGTTTAGTTGAACGCTACCGTTTTTATATTAAAAAAAACAATAAATTGCAATAAGTTACAATCATAGCTAAATATTCAGTATGATAATATTAGAAACAATAATTATAATTATTTCAGACTAACTTCGTACAAATCTTCAGACTGAGAGTCTGCTTTTTGTAACTTTTAATATAATGAAAAACATATTTTATACAGTATTCATATCTATAAATCTGTAAATTTATCTATTGGCTATGTTAATATAGCATTGCTAGATCCTATAATATATTAATTTATTATCTGAATATATTTCTAAGTAAATAATTTCTGAAATTATGAATTTTGTAGGAAAAATATTATTACAAGTAAATAAATATAAACTAAATAAGTTTTATATTATTTATTTAAAATTACAGAAAAATACACAAAAAAATATAATTAATTTTAACTTGATATGAAACATATTAAACAATATACTTATGTATATTGTATATGTATCGCCTACTCTTTTTCTTTGTTATGTGCAGATTTTATCAAATTAGGTGTTGTGCTTAACAAGTGATACCTTTAAGACGGTACATTTTTGTACCTATTGCATTCCGATCTGGACGACTTCATCATGGATCTCTTCATTTTCGCTTTGTTTCTTGTTGACTCTTCATCATGGCTTCGCTACTATGTTTTGTCTGCATTATGGGTACACTTTTCTTCTGTGAAAACTTCATCGCGATATCTTTCAACTCTTCACCTTACCCTTATCATCCATTCTGCAATAGATATTTACTTGCATGCAAATGGGTTCAAATAAAGGCAGCATTTTGTCAAGATGCGTTTTGCGTTTTTTACACAAAGTTTCGAACGGCGAAGCTTCTGGATTGTGCGTCATTTGCATTGACTTCACTTCATTTGCGAATTTCCTGTACTTTTAAAGCCTTGAATCGTTTGTGATCTTGGGATAAGCTATACATGTTCATATGTTTTTCTACTCTATTTTTATGTATATGTGTCACTCGACTCAATTACACTGGAGAAGTATATGCCAAAAAACATTCTTCCATTATAATTTTTATACCTATTACTGCTCATCTTATTATCCTTCTTATCATTGACACTAATACGTTTCACATCCTTGGTAAGTTGAGACAGGGACTCAGCGTCATGCACCTTACTGACTTTTATACCGTGTTTTACTTAATTTAATGCATTTTTCTGGAGCTTTGTCGGAATGCTGATATCTTTAGTTCCCGGGTTTTAACCTTGTTTTTAACTAAAACTCTCTCCGTCTCATTAATATCACTGCTATTAGTTATCACCGCAGTTTTCTATACCACAGTTGATTTTACCGAGTTATATCAAAATATTTTTCGTCGTTGCTCCTTCTTTCAGTTAATCTATTGTTTACCACCATTCTTTGAACTGCATTCAGGATTCTTCACATCTTTTGGTTTTACCTCTGAATATATTTTACACATGCCACTATTACCACATCTTGGCGACGTCTTAATAACATCTTTTGAATAAGTCATTTTTATTGTAACTAAGTTTTCACTGTTGCACTAATGTCTGATGGAGAACTAATGATTTGTTTAGCAACTTCCTTTTATATTTGGTTTGCATCATAAACGGGTATCAGTTTGAGGTAGTTAAAAATTCGAGTAGGGGTTGCACTATTGTTAGGAGCTAGATGCAAGTTTTGTATGGTTAATATATACATTTATTTTATTTTATAAACTAAAAGCGTTTTATAAACATTATAATTATGATGACATTACAAAATTGAAAATAACGTTGAAATACATATAAGTAAGTAATAATACCAAAATTTAGTACGCCTATCAATAATATTTAATATATACACCTAATATTGTGTTGTACATTGTTATGCCTGTAAAAACTATAACAACTAATTGATTATAAAAAGATAGATTTATAACATACAAAAAACGAATAATATATTGTTATCTGTCTTGATAATTTACGTCATAAATGAATTACTGTTATTTTTATTAAATGGCTCATTTTTTTCGATAAATAAAATGATTGGAGGAAAGATAATGAAAATGATAATAACATATCACTTTTAGAAAAATGCCGACAAACTAGTATTATGAAATATTTTTATGTAATAGTTTCAGGAAAGTTACGGATTTACTTGGGGAACAAATAAAAGTATTTTGTATATTTACAATTGTTAATCATTTTAGATAAATTACTTAACAGTTTAACAACTAAAATATTTGTAATTTGCATTTATATATTTTTTGTTATTTAAATAAATAATATGAGTATTAATTAGAAATAAATAAACCGGTGCGAGTTTCTAATCAAATTGGAATGCAAATAGCATTCTGTTTGTTTTTAAATTGAATGAAGGGATATAAATAAATACAGAAGAAACAATATAAAAACATGAGGAAGGAAAAGGGAAACATGTCGTGCGAATGTAATAGCACTTGGGGCGTTTAATTAAAATAGCTCGAACGTCGATGAAAGCACGAAAATTAGATTGTATATATAAACACGCACGCATAGCCAACAATCCAATGTAATACAGATCTTAGTGCTTTCAAAGCTCCATCTTTAATTTTAACTAGAGATGTTAGTTAATTAATTAATTAACGTCGAGCTAAAGATGAAGAAGACAACATAAGATGAAAGTAAATAAGGTTTCGGTTTAATTATATTTATGTACGTATCTTTTTATACGTAGATAGAAATAATTACGAAGCTTTTTCACAACTTTAAATTGCTAAGAGCCCGGAAAATGTGATATTTTATAAATATTACTGTAAAATATTTGTTATAAAAACGAGAAAACCTATAGTCAATAACCCTTTTTAATAGTTGATCTTTTTTATTATATTTACTATAATTTCTGAACTTCTGGCCATTATCAGTAAAAAAAACTGAACAGAATTTACTATCATAACATGGACTTAAATTCTTCAAAAAATAGTATTATCTATATGTGAAAACTCAATTTAATCCACAAGAAACGGTATTAATAATGATTAAGAGAGATAATTGAAAAAATATATAAGAATCTTATTTGTTCTAAGTAATTAAGTATGAGCATTGTAAACAAAAGTGCATTTGATTCAATATTTTAAGGTATGTACAAATTAGTGACTTGTATTAAATTTTTATTAAAAGTTAAAAAGCACGAAGATCTTTGGTGCAATTAAAAATAAAATATGCGGTATGAACTAGGTAGCTTCTTTTTATATTAAAAGTAAGACAAATTAATGTTATATGTGATGTTTATATTTTTTCTCCCATATTTATTTTTATATAATTCTCTCTTTCTCCGTTGAACCAAGGAATATTTATATTTTATTTCAAATTCACTTACCGCCGTAAATTGCTATGCAACAGGCCGACGTGGCCATCAAGACAATCAATTTTTCCATTTGGTCCTTAACATCGAAGGGATGAAGGAAAATTAGATCGCTCCCCGCAAGCAGCAATAGACTGACACAAAGGAGCAGCAACAACATTATCAGGTTTGTCATGTTGCTTTGGTTCATTTTCAGGAAATATCGCTGGTAGAGCATTTCCACCTGAGAAAAAGAGAAAAATTAAAAATAAACCTGTAAAAATGCTTTCTTTCTCGTGTATATTGAGGCAAACAAAAATAATAATACGTAATGAAACACTCACCTGTTCATTCCTAAATTGGTGAGTGCTACAGATGTTGCCCATGATCCTCATGAATCTTCGACCAATCTTGTATTTTTTTGGTACACTTGAAACGAGCGGTTCAGCTTCCGCTTCCGTTTTCTCCGCTTCTGGACTAGAACAGTGTCCGGTTACCTGCAGAATGAAATACAAAAATTAGTTGCAGATATCTTTTATTTATTAGAATAGACAAGGAAAAAATAAATTGAACGCCTTCATGTTTTGTGAATTGCAGCGTTTCGACAATCTGATGATTCGACAATAACCGTGTATTTATATATTATATGATACATTCAGCAAGAATGGCTAACCTTGTTCGAAAGTGATAATATTATATATAATTTAATTCAGTGTTGAAAAATTATCATAATTTATTTGGACATACATTTTTTAAAATCAAATCACATTCAGAAATAATACAAATCGAAATATTTCTGCCAACACAACTTTAAAATTCGTTAATCAGAATCAGTTTATTCTTCGAATAGCCCAACATATGAAATTTCTGATTCAAACTAAATGTTTTTATTTGCTTTATATAACCCCAATTCAAGTATTTACTACAAAACACATTAATTAGTTACACATTATATACACAATTTATATAGTATGAAAATATCAATTAATAAAAAGAAACATTAAAAGCTAGTTGATATATAGGAAGAATTGTAGATTTAATGAAATGTAAGAATACTAATAATAAAGCTTTAATAATATTGGACAATGTAAAATAAATACAGAAATACCTCGCATAATGAAAATCTAATATTTAAATAACTCTTCAAATAAAATTCCACAGAAAATATTCATATATCAACTTAAAAGAAACGTACAGTCGGATGCGCTTTGACTATAATTCCATTAACAACTAAAAATAAAATGAATACTCAAAGAAAATGGGATAAGGGTAGAAAAACAACATGGAAGCACTCACGAGTTAATTATATTTGTCTCGATTTAATTCTATTAAAAAAAGCACTTTCTCTATTGAAATATTATGTGGGCTCTAATATAAATATGTACTGAATGAGTACTGAAGAAGCAAAATATAATTTTAAAAAAAGTACAAGAATAGAAGAAAATTAATTAATAGAGGTATTTCTGCATAAAATAAAAAAGTTGGGGTTGAAAAACCTATGGTTAGGGTGACCAGACCGGTACAAATAAAAACATGACCTTGATTCTTCAACAGATTTTGTTTCACTCTTCACAACGATATAACTATGAGATAATCCACAGTGTCCAAAGACTTCTTAATCCCGGGACACGGCAGCTCGTTAAGTGACGTTCCACTGCAAATCGGAACGTCTAGTCAAGATGGTCAATAAAGGCTATTTATTTTTGTATACTATTATGACTGAAATGTATGGTTTTCATTTATAGATGTTTAATAAATATTGATGTTTTATATATAAAATATTAAAATATAAATAAATAAGCTTCTGTATTTTTAAAATAGAACGAATAAAAACGAAACAACAATATTTTTATTGATGTTTAGTAACATTGTTCAACGATAAACATTTATACAGAGAAATGATAATTAGATATTTACAAAATGTTTCTGATACAATACAATTATAACTATAGACTTTCATTTAAAACTTATACTCATTAATGCTTAGTATAGACTATTGTTAAGTCAATATCGAACATAATAAAACAAAAAATTGCCCATACCGGTCTCACTAATTTGTAATAATCTATATGTACTTTCTTTAAAAATAATAAAGAATTATTAAAATGGAAATGGAGTCACAATAAATTTGCAGATCAAAGTGAGTGTTACATGGTAACCGTATCTTGACCATTGTCATAGCATAATAGACAAATTTCGAATTACCAAATGACTGAATGAATTCAATTCCTGAATTCCTTGTTAGAAGAAGAAAATCAAAATTTTTCGACTATTGGTTTTAATTTTCACGTATTGTAGGTCACGCCAAAAATACTTACATGAAGTCATTACATAGAATGAACACGATGTAAATATTTTGGAACATTTCCAAATATTTGAGAGATATATATGTAGTCAGTTAGATATTATTTAATTAAATACCTAAAAAAATACATTTTTATGCAAAATCCACTAAAAAATCCTTTCTCCGAAATAATTTTGTCTTAATTAGAGTATCACAAGAAGAAGATAGTCCAGAGAAGAATTTAACTTTTTATTTGAACTTAATTTTTAATCCATGAAATAAACACTTACTTATCCTCTTAATGAAAACACTAATTTAAAAAATAAACTAAGCAATATTCGTGCTTAATATTCAAAAACCTCACCAAAATTCCACAACTACAGAACTAGGAGACATGTATAAAAGTATAGTAGTAGTATCAAAGTAAAGAGCAAATGCATGCAAACTTCAGATAGAAAAGAATGAAAACGACAAATAAATAAGCTTTCCCGTTTGAATAGTATATTGATTTATTGTCATGGAGACAATTTTATGTGAATCTCTGAAAGCGTCAAGAGCAGGTACATTGAAAACGTAAGCCTTTTAGCATAAGAGAATTTATGTGTTCATTATAAGTAAAAAAAATGAAAATTTGATTTTATTGTAGAGAATATTATTTTAATGTGGCGAAAAATGATATAGAGTGTATATTTTATTATATTAGAGTATACATTTGTTATAATTAGAACGCATGAATGTAATGCATATGACACTAATGATAGATGGAATGGATAAGACATTGTTAGTGAAACAGCCAATATCATATACAGGCACTCCAATTTAGTTTGAGATGTTAGGCCGAGCGTGAATAATGAAAATCTCATTCGTATTGTGCACGGTTAATGATAGACAGTGCTTATGTAAATAGATGGTTGTATATTACACCAGACAAAGCAGTGCTGAATAGCAAGATACTGTGTCAATTCATAATTCAGATTTTCAGAATATTTGCAGAAATTAGATTATTGATATACAAATTATATATTGTCTAATGTTATAATAAAAATATCAACACTTAAAACATAGATATAAACAGTTGTATACAACTATTTAGTACTAATTTACTTTACTATTACCAAGAATATTTACTTGTAGTCAAATAAAGAAACTAAACTTTTAAATGATGTTAATTAAATATAATGATTCTAACAAATCTTAACTAGTGATTGGATGATAATTAGAGTTAAACCTACTAACAAATAGAAATATTAGAATAAAGAAAAAATATATTCACAACTTTGGAGATACATTAAATCGATATAGATGTTTATTTTATATTAGTAATATATGCTGAAACATATGGTGTACACTCAAATAGAACTTTCAAAATACATTGTTGTATTTGAATGCAAACTGAACAAGAACTTTTTGTAGAGAAATCGCAAAATCTTCAAAATTGTCATATTTGAAATTTCTTAATAATTTGTCGGTTTTCAGAAATTACCTGTTCTTTGTCATATAAACACTTTTTATTTTTTTTTTTTTAATAAAAATTTAAAATATTTGGAGAAGTAAATATTGAAAAAAATTATTATACAAATATTTTAGGAAAAGTTATAAAAGATAATAGAAATAAGGTTATTTTATATTTGAGAAATTGTACACTAAAGTTCTCAAATTGACCCATCTCCGTCGGTACATAATCAGAGATAATTACTATGCATGAAATTCCCATTCTTAAATTCTTAGAATGTCTTAACAGTAATTAAAAGGTAAGTAGAATATTCGAATGACGGCAGAAAGACCTATGATAAATAGCACTTTGCAGCAGTTGACTTTTTGTTTGATTATTATTGTATGGAAATTATAATATTTTTTTTTGTACTATTGCAATAAAAATTTCTTATTATTCCAATGATATAAGTTTACATATTCTGTTGCTAATAGTAAAATAAGCTCATATTTTGATATTTTTGAATCACATTATTTAAAAAAAATAATTATAAACGAAACTTTTGCAGCAGTTGACTTTTTATTTAATTTTTATAATTGTATTGAGAAAAAAGATTTTGCAATTTAGTGATGCAATAAATATCATTATTATTAATAAACAAAATTGATTGTATACATATGTACACTTGTTATTAACAGCAGTTTTATTAAATATTATTTATTTATGTTTATGAAATATATGGTAAATGAGTAAACAATCCAGTTATAACGTAGATTATGAAATAGTTTTCTCACCGCAAGTAAACTGGACGATAGGCTGCCTTTGTCTTTGGAACTGTAGTGTTCTATGACTTGCCAATTACTCTTTCGCGTTGGTTCCGGTGGCAAGGGACTTGCTGTTGTTGTTGAAGAAGTAGTCGAAATTCCTCCACCCGTCAATCTTTCAGAACTTGGCGCAGAATGCTGTCTCAAACTGGTCCAACGGCGAACTCCTCCCCTGCGCATTGTTACATTTTCCTGCAAACAAATTAAAACTAATTAGACTTTCTCAATTAAGAGTTTTCGAATCATTACAATGCACCAAAAACCATGAATCATAGAATATCCGTCTTCAACAATGTTTGGGTCAACGAATATTTCAATTGTAATGTTGTATAATGTGTATCGTGGACAAAAAGTAGTCAAAATCGGTTCGCATTGTTGTTCCCACTACTCGGCCTACGTATTGAATAGCAGATTGCAAATCCGCTGGATTTGTAGTTTTCATAATACGCGGGACATAACGTGGACCAGCAGTCAAACAAAACAACTATCTGCATTTGAACGGCCCATGAATAGTTTTTGCGCAAATCATGAAATCCATACATTATTCAACCCGAAATAGAATTAATGAATCACCAACTTCTAGTAAATATACATCAACAATCATTTCACTCAATAATTTGTACATAAGTATATTAATAAAATTTATTTGAAATTTCTATTTTCTAAAATAAACTAAATGATTTTTATAATACTAATTAAAATCTGTTAACATTTATATAAAAGTAGTTAACGTATACATAAAATATATACGGATATTTGTTCGAACTAACATACAAATATTCGTAAGAACGTACAACGATGTCATTGTAAAATAATTCAATATATTTATTATAAAAGAAACTGTAGTCGAAATCAAGTTTTTTTTTTCATAAAATAGTCAGGCAGAATTAGGAAATAATATTTTCATATTTAATAATATAGCAGAGACGCAAATGCATCTAAATTAATCTAAATAATAAATAAACAGTAGCATATTTTGAATATACACCTACTATTATATGGAATCAGTTATCACAAAAAGATATATTATATTTTACCAGAATATAATACAGTGGAAACTCGCGTAACGAGATTAATCCGTTCCAAAATTTTTGGATTTTTATTCGTATAGCGAAACATATTCAAAAATATACATAATATGTGTACTCAAGTTTTAGAAATGATGTAGCAGGCGCGCAATCCGGGACTTCTCATCGTCACTCGTTATGCGAAAAGTCGCTCGTTAAGCGAGTCTTTTTTTACAATTCATTTTACTCGTTAAGCGAAATGCTCGTTATGCGAGGTTCTACTGTAGTATCTTCTAGAATTGTAAAACATATGTTATAAAATAATACATACTAAATACAAACATAATATAATCACACCTCGAATGATAAAAAAATATTGCAGATTCAAAAGATAATGGTTTTTCAGTGGAAAGTTTAAAAAACAAAGAAAATGAAGACAAAATGAAAAAATACATGGAAAACGTTTCATTTATTTTGTGAAAATTATTATTGTGAAATTAGTGTTAAGTGTAATAACTTTGTATATGCAATTGAAAAAAGAAAACAGAAGCTCAAAATATCAACTTAGACTGTTATTTTAAAACATGTGCTTACTTAGCATACAAGTTGACTATTTATTGAATAAAATATCCTTTCATTTAATAAAATTTTAATTTTTTTTTAAGAACTTATTCCCATTCTTATTATAGAATGATTAGTTTCCCTTAATAAAGTAATTTCGTGCAACGCAAACTATTCGTTAATCGAGGTATTATACAATTAAAAACTTATAAAAATATGATTCATTAATTATAAAATAATTATAATCATTGGAAAATATTCTAAAATTAAATCAATAATAACAAACGACAAAGTATGAAATTAAAAATAAAAACTTTTGTTTATATTCTGTGAAATATTCAAATAAAAGTAGGAAATGATAATAAAGACATAACACAATTCACAGCGAAATGTTCCTTTCCAATTTTTCATGTAACATAAAGCTGCTTCAGTTAAGATAATATTCAGATATAAAGTAAGTTATGCAGCATCAGTCCACGTTTTGAGCTGAATAGGGCTTATTAACATATCATTTTCGAGAATCCGTGCTCATGCAGTTTCTTTTTTGTTGTATCCGCGTGCAAAATAATAATAATAATAACAATGTAAGTTCGTGGCAGGGTTCTGCTTTCAAAGCAACAAAGTTTCCGATTGCTTTTATCCCAAGTTTATATACAAGCATATGAATTTCATCTCAGATTTGTTATGCGTACGTACGTATATACCTGTGCATACACATCGGAATATCGATTTCCCGAAGCCCGAGACGCAACACATAATACACACGATCCCAATTACTCAACACATATCATTTGTTCCTCGAAGACGAAATGGGATAACTACAGAATACTAAAGATGCAAGACATACATTAATGCATATAATGAATATGAACAAATTATTATTGTTTATAGCAACTACTAAATCATCAAACAACTTATGCAGCAACTAAATCAAAATATAGAAATTGGATGGATGTTGAATATGAACTATACTGAAAATATAAAGACTAATTATCATAAAAATACATGAAAAAACTTAAAAATATTAAAATTACTTATTAGCGACAGGATTATTAGTAGTAAGCGAGTATTAGTCCCCAACCGAAGGGTTTGAAATCAATTTGGATCAGCTTTCAGCAAATCTGCCATAATTATTATTACAGGTGGGAATAGAATGGATGTGCTGCAAGGTAACTGCGCAAGGGATGAAACTCGGTTTCAGCATGTAAATTCATGTAAGGCCCTTTAAATTAATAACTACATCGATTTGACCGGCACCGGATGCATGCATTAATCCAGCATGGTAATCCCGTTGGAGATCGGTCGACAACTTCCTAAATAATTACATATCAATTTCTCATAGCCGTTGGGGAATTGTTCGTGCTCGTTCATTTATTAACCTTTTTCATTCCATGTTGCTGTTCTTAACATCGAGCAACTTCAAACTACGAAGCATTTCGTCGGATTACGTTACGCTTCGCCAATTAACGTAAACACAAGCACTTAGTGGCATTCCGAAATTCCATTTCAACGTTTACTTTGTGGAAGTAACTTGGGGTATATTTATGCATGCAATCTCATTCACAAAATTTAACCAAATTCAAATCGAGACGAGATCTGTTCCGCCTCAAAGATTTGCATCGCATAAGAGATTTCAGTTTAATATTTATTATAATTTTAAGTAAAATAACTTACAATACGCTGTTAAATCTATGGAAAATAATAAATAATAACTTGAACTTTTGTACTAAACCTTATACTATTTACTAGGGTTTATAAAACAATGACTTAAAAAAAAACGGTTTTTGAATTTTAACAAAAAAAAAATTACAATTTATTGTTCACACTGGCTAAAAAGTTTAATGACTAAGGGTTTAATAGTCTTTAGAGTATAGAATGTACTTTTTTTTCTTATGTATTGATGTTTGGCCAATAAATTATTATTATTAGTCTTTAGAGCATTAAATAATGAACCATATTATTCGTTTTTCTCTTTGTACCATCTAAATTCACATCTTCAGGTTCTTTAAGATATTTATAAAACGATTTTTTAAAGCAAGCTATGATTTGTTTTTCTTCTTCACTACTTTTTCATCAATGCTAGTGAAAGAAATAAGCTAGACTGTTGTTCAATATATACACTAGAACAGCGGTCGCGGACCACCACTTTGGCAACCGCTGCACTAGAATATCGCTTAATAAATCGATAAATAAGTCAGAACTTAAAATTATTTAAATAAATTTTTTGATCAAATTTTAGTCCTTTTGAAATATATAAATCATTTAATATTTATGCAAGTAACATAAGTATTCGGATTTTGTTAAGCCAACAATTTGCAAAACTAGAGGGAATCCTAATTTAAGAGATCTGAGAGTAAATCTCAATTAAGGTAAAGCCGAACGAACATTGTTTCATCGTGCCACGTAAAAAGAAAATATACGAATAAAAATGGTTTAGTATTGTTGAAAATGTTATTTTAAAGTTAAAAAATGATGTTCTTTTTATACTATTATTGTTACCAAATAATTCGAATTGGTTACAAAGCACTATTTTTTTCAGATGATAAGGTCTAAAATATAAGCGTTATATAAATATGTTTAAAACCAATAGACGAATTTTAGATTACATTGTTCTTCAGTCATTGATGAAGTCTTTATTCTCAAGATACTAAACGATTATGTTATCATTTAGGTGCTGATAGATTTAATTTGTTAACTGCAATAGCGTTCATTGTGCTGGAATGCTTTTAGTGGAGTATTAAAGGTGATTTTGCTAGCAATTAATGTTAAAGAATGGGAAGACAAATTAGGTAAAACGAGGGTTGCGTTGGGAAGAAGGTGAGGTAGAGGTGAGCGGTGATGTTGGAGGAAACACATAAACCAATTGCCGGGGACGTCTCCGATTGTCTGCAATGTTTTCGTTGGCAAACTCGTTGCCATCACGTAGGAGAGACTCGAGACTCTTAGTTAATTGACCGAATGGCTTGCTTCATTAGATTCACCATTTTGTAATTGGATTTAAATGGAAACGCAACCATAACATCATCCCCTACAATTCCCAGTCTGCGAAGGCTGTTAATTAAACTTTAACATAATTCAATTTTCGAGCATAATAATAGCGATGGTGGCACATTATGTATTGATATTTAATCAAAATTGATTGAATTTTTTAATTACACTTCCCGCTAATTGATTAACACGACCGCAGCGATGATATTTCAAAGATTGAATTTGTAGAAAATAGAAAGCAAAGCTAGAATGTTCCTTCAATTGAATATATATATATATAGCATAGTGTCCCGGAATGTTTGATACCGGACTAATCAAGAAACTAAATATACAATTCTTCGCATAGTGCGGCTAATCAGTTCCGCCAATATCGCGAATTCTTTAAAAGTAATCGAGGACAGTTGAAACACATAAAAATAAAATGCAGAAAAAAAACTATTCAAGGGAAAAAACGATAATTTATGTAAAGAAAATATTTTTTTTGAAACCGGACCATAGTGAATCCGGACTGATCGAACTACACAAAAAAACTTATCTTTAGAAAAAAAAATATAATAACTATATTGTCTAGGTAATTCAAGATAAATAAATAATGTTTTTTAAGAATGTTTTCCATGCAAAAAAGATAATTATATT